ATCTAATCTATTCACGGTTTGAAATTTATCATAGAATTCAAAAAACTGCATCGATTGTTGTCAACTACGTGATAATCGGTTAAATCGTTTAAAAGTTATAGCGGATTGAAAATTTTAAAATTACTTAAACATGTTATCAAACAAATTAAATAACATAAATAAAGAAAATCTCATATCACATGAAATCTACCTTCCATTTCGGGTGAGGCTGAATGGCATTTTTTTTGAATAAATTTGTTTGTTAAAAAAATATTTTTAAAAAATTCTCTAGTGACTGCTAACTTTAATGTCATTGATACTGGTTTATTGACAATTATCAATTATATTAAATTAAAAAAAAAAAAATCTAAAATTTTCCACTAATAATTTATTAAATTTTTAAATGCGAAATTTTTTTATTAAATTTTGTTTATAATAATTTTATTATAAAATTTTAGAAAAAATTTCTAATGTTTGTCAATTTCAGTGTTATTAATTTATTTGTAAAAAAAATTATTAAATATCTGCTAAATTGATTTTAAAAATTTTTTGGTGGTACTGAAATTGACAGATAATTGATGATTTGTAAACAAATAAATTGTGACAAAAAAAATTGAATATTGTCAATCCTAATATAAAATTGAGATGAAATGTATGTGGCATCAAACTATTCGTAACTTGATTGGTTGAATATATCATAAGCATGAAAATATATGCAAACTTTATAGTCAAAGCGCGCGCTTGCGCGCGTAAATTCAAATTCTAGTTAAATAAAAATGATCAGGTGTCTGCTGATTCAAGTGTCATCAATTGTGAATATATTATGATATAAGTTACTTACAACGTCAATGGTATTTTTCAAGGCTATTTGAAATCCACTGATCATTTTTTATTTTTTTCCAGCACTAAATTTGTCACAAAAATGAAAGAAATTGGAATGAAGATCAAGTGGTGATTGCAAACTCAATTTTTAATTTCTTCTTTACATTATATTACGTTTGAAAGGTGTTACAGCACACCTGATTGCTTTCAAAGTATCACGACGTAATCATTACAATAACAGTCAACAGTGATAACACGTAAGTATGTAGAATAAAGTTTCCATTACTATACCTACCAGATATTGCCACATCAGAATGTTTCTCTGAGCGACATTTTATATCAAGTTTTACTAAACGTGACATCAATTTATATCTACGTTATATGATGCCATTTTATGATTGTACGGTAGAATTACCGAAAATGAAACTATAAAGTACACTTAATTTGCGTGATACTTTACAGTCACTCGGATTCACTTCAATGTTTAATCCGAGGGTAGCTAATCTAGGGTTGATGTCAACTGGTCAATCACGATCATTTAAAGACGAATCCCTAAATATTTCAAAAATAAGAACTGAAAATTTTAATAATGAAGAGGATCGTTCAATTCCCGTAGACTTCCAACAATATGTCAAAACTAAAAATTTTCCTTCTTATGGTTTGGATGAACTGCGTGAAAGCAAAAACTTTGATAATCCTGGCTTGTATGTGTCCCGTGCAGAACATAAAGTTGAAATAGACATCATTGAAAGAGGCACTGAAGCTGCTGCAGTTGCTAACATGATTATAAACTACCTTTCTTGGGAATGGACACCAGTCAAAGTTAAGTGTAACCGTCCGTTTTTATTATTCATTAGACATAAACCTTCAGGTTTAATTTCATTCTGGGGAGTTGTTCGCAAACCTACTCCTTACTATGAATAATAAAGTGTACATAATTTTGAAATAATAATAATTAAATTATAAAAAATTCAAAGTTCTATCTTTTCATTGGTAATCAAAAAAATTCTCAAAAAATGCTTTAAAATGGTTATGGCTATTGGTTTCTTTCTCACGCATTAGTACTGCCTCTCTTTACAGACTATCGCTCATTTACTTCCACTCACGTAAAATATCGAAAATCACTAACTTCAAACGTTTCTTATAAAAAAATGAATAACGCTCGTTTGTGTTATTTTTGATAAAAAATACTTGTTATAACTTCAATTAAATATTCTCAGTTTTTCAAAAAAATCCTAAGAAAAGTATGGTTGTTATTCAATAAAATGTTCACTCTAACTGCGGTCAGGATAGGGAATGCATGTTAAATGTATGATTTTTAATTGCTAATATTTCAAAAATTAGCACCGCAAGGACTATTAAAATAAATTTCTTCGTATAGAAGACACTTAAAAGTACGCATACTCTAAAATTGAAAAATATTATAAGAAAAGTGATTTTGCACACAGTACCTCCTTAATTCTTAGTTATTGTAAGATAGCTCCTCTAAAATATAAATATTTTAATATTAAAATTAAAAAAACACTGATCTGCCATAAAGTTGCATGTTATTAAAAATCTAATTCCTACACGGTGAGAAATTTCTGTAGAAATTTACTATGCATACATAATAAGACTGAACCTTAATGACTCAATTCAAAATATTACCATAAAAATTTAAGAATATCATATTGTACCAATCAATATTTACTAGGGACCATAGTAAATTTGACCATGTAACTTCACGGTGAGAAATTTCTATTATTTTTTATTCTGCATGGATTTTTAATTTTACAATGGTGCATATTACTAGTGAACCTTATTGACTCAGAATGAAATTTTACAATGGCCCATAGTAATTTCCGAAACAAATGAAATCAGACATAGCAAACGGTAGAAATTAAAATGTACCATAGTGAAATGAAATATGCAATAATTTAAATTTCCGAATAATTTAAATTTACTATAGCAAAAAAAATAAGAAAATGTTTGTAAAAAATAAAAAATTTTAATTAAAAAATATTTTTAGCAATCAAAAGAAATATCAAACCAAACAAGATTTTTTTTTTTGTTTGTAATAATTTTTAAAAATATTTTTTTAAAATATAGTTTTTTTTTATTTTTTTTCTATTTTTTTTTTTATTTTTAACAATTAACGTAGGATTTATTTTGGCAGTTAATTTTATTATAATTAATTATAAACACAATATATAACTTTTCCATTATTTTTTATTATAATAATAATATATTATTAGAAAAGTGTTGGTTGCAGGTTAACCATCAAATGTTTGTTTTCATTTTAATTTTTCACGGTAAATTATTAAATATTTTATTATTTGGGAATCTTACAAATTTTTATTAATTATTCATATGTTGATGGATTTATAAACTAATATTTATTTAAAACAATGTTTATTGCAATTAACATATGAATAGTTAATAAAAATTTGTAAGATTCCTAAATAATAAAATATTTAATAATTTACCGTGAAAAATTAAGATGAAAACAAACATTTGATGGTTAACCTGCAACCGACACTTTTCTAATAATATATTATTATTATAATGAAAAATAATTTAAAAGTTATATATTGTGTTTATAATTATTTATAATATAATTAACTGCCAAAATAAATCCTTCGTTCAAATTAAAAATAGAAAACAAATAAAAAAAACTATATTTTAAAAAAATTTTTTTAAAAATTATTACAAACAAAAAACATCTTGTTTGGTTTGATATTTTTTTTTGATTGCTAAAAATATTTTTTACTCTAAAATTTTTTATTTTTTACAAACATTTTCTTATTTTTTTTGCTATAGTGCATTCGGAAATTTAAATTATTGCATATTTCATTTTACTATGGTACATTTCAATTTCTACCGTTTGCTATGTTTGATTTCATTTGTTTCGGAAATTACTGTGGGCCATTGTAAAATTTTATTCTGAGTCAATAAGGTTCACTAGTAATATGCACCATTGTAAAATTTAAAATCCATGCAGAATAAAAAATAATAGAAATTTCTCACCGTGTAATCGTTCATAACGTTTTAAAATAATCGATAACGAATTTTCAATTTTTGAGAGAAGATCACAATATGATTAGATTAAACTTATCAAAACTCTGCCCTGTCATGACAAAACGACGTATCTTAAAAATTATGGTTTCGAGAAAATAGCGCATAAAGTTTTTACAGAATTTGAGTACAACTTTACATAAAAATTCATTTCTGTCATGACAAAACGTTGTAACTCGAGATACGTTTTTTTAATCTTAAGAAACTAATGCTCATTTTGATAAATAAATGAAATTGTTATGACAAAACGCTGTAACTCGAGTAATTAAGTGTTATATTGATTTTCAATGCAAAATAGATACGTTTTTCATTTCTTTTATACGCACTATTAATCAATATTATTGGCATAATTAATTTAATTAGTAAAATTTTGATGATTCCCTATCATTAAGTATCACTAAAAAAAATCTTTTTAGCTTTGTTACGACAAAACAGCGTATCTCGAGATACGTCGTTTTATTATAACAGGGCAGAACTAAAAAATATAAATTTACTAGAAATTTGAATAGCGCGCTACGCGCGCACCTTAATCTTAACCAATAAGGAATCAGGGTCCATGTTTTCGATACTAAGCTAACTTCATTCTACCATCAATTTTAGTATATAGGATATCTACTATTAAGTCTTACGTATGAACGTCCTTAAACGATTTATGAAATTGAATTTAAATCTTGTGGTTAAGATGGAAATTATCTTTGAGCGCTTTCTAGTGCCGAAAAATATTAATTTAATATTAAATTAAATCAAATTCAAATCTACCGCGCGCGTAATCCTATAGTTTCGAACTTTTTTCAATTTGCACGTGCGCAATGACGTTTGTGTAAAAGTAGAAGAAGCCATTCCGAAAATACCCGAGCTAAGCTCTTGCTGCTCTTGTTGCGTTGCGACAACTGTATACAAATATAACGTACAATGTATGTGCTATACAGCAGTGTTATACATACTTACGTGTTATCACTGTTGACTGTTATTGTATATAATGATTACGTCGTGATACTTTAAAAGCAATCAGGTGTGCTGTAACACCTTTCAAACGTAATATAATGTAAAGAAGAAATTAAAAATTGAGTTTGCAATCACCACTTGATCTTCATTCCAATTTCTTTCATTTTTGTGACAAATTTAGTGCTGGAAAAAAATAAAAAATGATCAGTGGATTTCAAATAGCCTTGAAAAATACCATTGACGTTGTAAGTAACTTATATCATAATATATTCACAATTGATGACACTTGAATCAGCAGACACCTGATCATTTTTATTTAATTGACAATATTCAATTTTTTTTGTCACAATTTATTTGTTTACAAATCATCAATTATCTGTCAATTTCAGTACCACCAAAAAATTTTTAAAATCAATTTAGCAGATATTTAATAATTTTTTTTACAAATAAATTAATAACACTGAAATTGACAAACATTAGAAATTTTTTCTAAAATTTTATAATAAAATTATTATAAACAAAATTTAATAAAAAAATTTCGTGGAAAATTATTAGTGGAAAATTTTAAATTTTTTTATTTTATTTAATATAATTGATAATTGTCAATAAACCAGTATCAATGACATTAAAGTTAGCAGTCACTAGAGAATTTTTTAAAAATTTTTTTTAACAAACAAATTTATTCAAAAAAATTACTTTTAAAAAATTGCATTTTCTGTTTTTAAAAATTTCTCGTGTCAATTTTTTTTTCTAATTTTTTTTTTGCCATAATTTATTTAAAAAAAAAATTTTGAAATTTATTAAATATCTGCTAAATTTATTTTCATTCAGTATCACATAAATTATGGCAAAAAAAAATTGAAATTTAATAATTAAAAATGCAATTTTTTAAAAATAATTTTTCTAAACAAATTCCTATCTTGAATAAAATAAAAAAATGGTCAAGTAATTGCTAACTAATGTCGAAAAAAAATAATCTGTTACGTATCTGAATTTTAGATAGCTCCACCAGCAACACCAATCCAGGACTTTATCTACCACTGGAAGCAGTTGATGAAATTTTACTCCAGTCATAAAACAAATTGCAAAGTCTCGATAGAAAACACAGGGATTCCTCAGCACCTAAACCGCTTGCTAGAAATTCTTCTTGCTGAAGAAAAAGAAAGTGACAACCCCGGGTTATGTTTGGAATACTTGCTCCAGCACAAGCTGCTGGATTGGCTGGCAACGTTGGCCAGCGCAGAAACACCTCCAGGAATGCGGCTAGTCTGTCTGATATTCTTCAAAAAATTCCTGGCGCGAACAAAGTTCCCACTTCTACATCAAGCCGCCGTATATGGCCCAGTGTTGCGGTTGATCGGGCTCTGCAACGGGAGTATTCCGTCGCCGATCGAGGGTGAAGAGATAAAATTCCTTCTGACGCTCTGCTTCCTGATATGCAGATACCCTCACCTGACGAACATCGTCAATGACTGTAGCAGTGTTCGCCTGGAGCACTGTGTGGTCAAAGGTTCTGAGCGACTGGATGTCCAGTCGGTGACGTACATTCCCAGCAGACAGAGGACGAACCACTCGATCAATCCTTTGTTCGAGCCACTGAACACCCAAGCGATAACTCTGGTGAATCCAAACCTCTTTGCTTGCGATCACCACCAGAGACGCTCGATTTGCACCGAGAGGTTCAAGAAGTCGGCTAAGTTATGTGATAAGACCAGGAGAAAAGTCTCTGGTAGGTCCAATGAGTCGACGTCGTCAAGAGACACGGAAAACTCTTCAAGGTGTTCTAGTCCGGTTGAGAAGATCCAAGATGCTGCCTTGGAGACTATCGTTGATCAATGTGATTACGAGAATTGTGATAGAGAGTCTGACCGCGTTTCTTCGTCAGTATTTGATATTGATGCGAAACTCCAGGATCTTGAAGAGTTGCGATTAGATGATTACCGCAGGAACGGATTGCTAAATGATAACAATGATGCTGATGAGAAAGGTCAGAGTTTAGCAGAGTCTATTTCACCTGATCCAGAGAATTCAAATCTACTGTTGGATGCCTTGATAAGTTATTTAAACAGTGCTGTAAGTATTTTAAAATAATAATATTGAAACATTAGCAGACATTTGACAATTTTAAAGATTTTTGTTACAAATAATTATTTTAGCGGCAAATTCAAAATAACAATTCATAATTAATGGTTCAAATTTTTTATATTATGACAAAACTATTGGTCCTACACTGAGAGAAAAAAATACTTTTACTCAATCAATAATTTCTTGGTTCAAGAAATTCGATGACGATCAAATATTCTATTTTTATTAATTATTATTTTCTGAAGAGAAGAACATCAATATTTATCTTTGGATAATAGATAAACAAGAGAATAGCTTTATTTAAATTAAGTAAAAATTATTTCAATCAATTTAACAAATTCTTGAACTAAGAATATAGATTCTTGAAATTTTCAAGAACATGAATTCTTGTATCAAGAAAATTTTCTTAACAAAAGTATTTATTTTTCTCAGTGTATAAAAATTTCTTTTAAACAAAAGTTATTTGGCATTAAATTTTATAAAAAATATGTCTCTTATGTTCTTTCCTTAATATATCAATAATTTGACCATTATTTCATAATAAAGTAAGATTCATTATTATACAATTTGAACCTTTTATTATGAATCTTTATTTTGGAATTACAGCAAAAATATTGGTTTTTTTTAAATCATAGCAGACATTTTTTTTATAAAATTAAATTTTAAACAACTAATCAAAATGATTAGTTAATTTTTTTATAGGACCAATATGTTCACCATAATATTAAACATTTGAACGATTTATTTTTAAATATTATCGCAAAAATTTTAGTCCTTAATATAAAGAAAATTTAGTTACAAAATTCAATATGGAGAAACTGAAAAAAATTAGAAGTAAGAATTTAAAAAAATATTTTTTTTTCGTCATAATTTAATTGTTATAAAAATCTAAAAAATTTTCAGACGCTAATTTCAGTATCATTGGAAATGAATTTTTATTAATTATTAATTTAATAAATATATTTTTTAGGACAATACAGTGAGAGTAAGAGCCTGTGAAGGAATAATGGTACTAGCAACGCTTGAAGAACCAGCCTTTGCTCGTACGATGGCACAAAGTGACTTATCGAGGGTACTTAGTGCTAGATTAGAGAATTTGTTCAAATGCATACCAGCTCATGTAGATCCTGCGGAGATAGACGAGATAGACTTTACGTGGGGACTCGACTCGCCGCTCTGGACTAATGAGAAAAAGTTTCCAGGGTGTAGACAAGTCGCTGCTTATTTTATGTGGCTGGATTACTGTGACCAGTTGATCAAAGAAGCGCATCCAGAAGTTGCCGCTGCTCTTGCCAAGGCTATCAGGTTACTGTTTTTTGAAAAAGTTCTGACACCGGCGCTGGGTGATCATCATGTCGTGTTAATCACAGCTTTGGTGACTGAAACGCTTAAGAAAATTACTGGAAGTGTTTTTAATAGTGGTAATTTTTTTTATTTAACATTTCTTCTTGGCATTAAAAAATTTTTGCATAATATTAATTAATTAAATTAAAGATAACACTAGACTACTTTTCAATTTTATTTAACAAACAAATTTTTTCCGAAAAATTTTTTTTAATTTCTACATGTCAATTTTTTTTTCTTATTTTTTTGCCATAATAATTTTTACAAATATAATAATGATAATAATAATAATAATAATAATAATAATAATAATAATATATTTATTTAGATAAGTAGCTATTTTTTGTTTTACAATTAGTTTTATACAGTTCATTAATAGTTTTTTTCTGCTGTAACTGTTTTTGTTTTTTTAATTTTAATTTGAACATTTCTAGTATTATAATGAGTTGTACTAATATAAAATCAAATTCATCACATAAGTATTGAGGTAATAAGTTGCATTTGACTTTTTGAACAAAGAGACATGTATTATAAATCACTTTTTGCCTAGTAGACATTCAATTTAGAGTATCAAGCATAGTACTTATTAATTATCTGCCAAATGAATTTTAATTATTAATTATAAATTATTAATAATACAATTTATTTCAGAGCTTGGATACTGGTTAGTTGGTATTGAACGAGTTCCAGTCGCAGATGTCTGTGAAACTTCACTGATAGAACGCCTGATAGAAAATTGTTACTCAGACAGCGATGATTTAACTCTAGAAACACTTAAACTATTTGAAGCGATTTTGGAAGCCCGAAACGAGCACGTGTTTCATTGTATGATCCTTTCATACTTAACATCTCGGGGTTACTATGACACATCAGCAGCAGACAGCGCAATAGCTTCTTGGAGCGACGAAGAAGATGAGCGAGAGCGAGAGAAAAAAGGCTCGCTTGATTTCTGCCAGGAACAAACTCACAGCCGGACCCTGGCGCCCAGCAATATTCACCGGATAATAAATTGCTTTTTGTCCCTGGTACCGCGACAACTGCAGAGTGATCCCGGTGAAGACGACTACGGACGTTATATGGCTGACTGGGAGAAGCAGTACCAGCGCGCGAAAGCAGAATGTTCATTATTTGCTTGGCCTTTGGAAGCTGTCTCTGTTGATGACTCTGGTAGTTATGACTCGAGACCGGAAGCTGATCATTGCTCATCTAGGTTCTACATGGGCCCTTTTATTGCCATGCTCCTTGACAAAGTTTCAAACATTCCTAATCAAAAGTACGAAATAAACTTACAGTTGACTGTTGTAATTTCAAAGCTTGCTCTGTTACCTCATCCGTACTTACATGAGTTTTTACTCAATCCATTAGTACCTCTGACTCCTGGTACCAAGAGTCTCTTTAATTGTTTACAAAAAGTCATTAAACAATTAGTGAGTGATATTATTAAAATGCCAAAATATAAAGATGCTTTAAGAGAAACTAGAAAAAAATTATTACAGGAATCTTCACAAGATTTGTAAGTTAATTTTTATTCTTTTATTTATTTTAAGAATAATAATAATAATTATTATTATTCTCAAATAAAGACTAATTGATAATTTTTTTTTTTTTTGTTGCAGAATAAAAGATAATATTTTGTACGAGAGTATTATAATAACAGAAGAATTTTGTAAAGAATTAGCAGCAATTGCTTATGTCAAGTATCAACATTCCATGTGAATTTGTCCATAATTATGTACCTTTATTATGATAAATATTTAATTAAATAGTTTATAACTATTTTAAAATATCTTAATGCACAATTATAAGCTTATTAATATTTAATACTTTATACTAGTCAAAAAAATAACATTGTAATAATAAAAATTATTATTTAATTAATTCATAAATTATGTTGTGTTTTTTTCCATCAAATTTAGAAAATTTTAATGAAAAATAATTTATTTAAATTGAAGAATAATAGAGGCTGAATTTTTTTTTAGTTTGCTAATTACTATTATAATAAATTATCAATTTCAAAATTTTCTTACCGACTCTGTCAGTATTAAAGTCAGCCATATTGAATGTAGAAAGTAAATAATAAACACGTGTCAAAATGAATGACAAACACATCGCGGAGTATTTAATAGAAGAGTTAATAAACAATAAAAATACGTCAATAAAAACAAAAGCTGTGAAAATAGTAGAGCAAACAAGTAATTTTAAAAATAAAGATATTGTTATTAATTTAAATCCTCTTGCATGGAGATCATTGATTGACAGTGACGATAAGTTGTTGGATAAAAGTACAAATATTTTGGATTATTATTTAAAAAAGCAGTCATTAAATATTTCTGGTTTAGAAAATCAGTTCGATGAGGTAAGTTTCATTTTTATACTGAAATTAAAAGACATCTGTCAATTTTTGAAATTTTTGTAACAACTAAATTAATATGAAAAAATTTTAATAAAAAAATTCCACATCTAGAAATTAAAAGTGCAAATTTTTCAAAAATCTTTCTTTTTTTTTTTTAATTAATTTTTTATAAAAATCAATACAATCGTCAGATGTCTGCTGGATTCAGTATAATGAATTTAAAAAAAAAAAATTTTTTTATTGTAATTAATTTTATTTAATAAAAAAAATTAACCTTGAAATTATGATTCTAAAATAAAGAGACATCTGATAATTTTTTTACAAATAAATTATAGTGAGAAAAATTTATTCTTAAAAAATTATAAATACAATTTTTTAAAAATAATTTTCTAGACCTAGTTTTCTTTTAAAGACAAATAAAAAAATTTGTCAAGTGTCTGCTAATTTCTGTTATATTAATTTTATAAAAATTTATTTAGCAAATATTTGACTATTTTTAGAATTTTTGTAACAAATAAATTATGTGAAAAAAAGTAAAAAAACATGTGACATTTTTTTTATTTTTGTGACAAATTAATTATAAAAAAAAATATTTTTAAACAATTTGCACTTGTAATTTTTTTATTAACATTTTTTCACATTAATTTACTCAATACAAAATCTAAACAATTGACAGATGTCTATTAATTTCATTATCACTAAAAAAAGGAGTAAAAAGATTTACATGTAAAATTTAAAAAAAACTAAAAATACAATTTTTAAGAAATAGTTTTTTGGAAGAAATTTATTTGTTAAATAAAAATGCCATTAAAGTTAGTAGTCACTTGATAATTTTTTTATTTTTTTTAACAAACAAATTTGTTCCGAAAAAAGATTTAAAAAAATGGCATTTTTAATTTTTTTAAATTTCTACGTCAATTTTTTTTTCTTTTTTTTTTTGCCATAATTTAATTGTTAAAAAAAAATCATTAAAATTTAATAAATATCCGCTAAATTAATTTTCATTTAATAAAATTAAAAAATTGTCAAGTGACTGCTAATTTAAATTTCATTTAAATTTAAAGGCGCTGAAATGGATCAAAACTGAAAAATGGAGAATCAAAATAGAAAATTTAACCCTGGGTAACGGCGAAATTTATGTTAAACTCAACAAAAGCTGTTTAATTAACAGCGTAATCAGAGATGCAATTAAATTAAACGAGTTCTATGGGAAAAGAATTGACGGTGGTAATTTTTTTATCAAGATAAATGAAGACACAGAATCAAGTTTGACGACAACGCGAATGAGGCTGCTGAAAAATACGTGCGAAAATGTTCTGAAGGCTCTTGGATACGCGGTAGAAGAGAACGCGGAGCGTAAGTTGTTTTTGACGACCAAGTCACAAGGAAAAATTGAAAATGGGTTTGACAGGTGTCTGTGTGGAGTCGTCAAGAATCCTGTCAGTAATGCAAAAGAAACTGGGCTGAGTTACTCTCAGTATTTGGAGCAGAAGATGAAGCTTGTTAGAGAAGCCAACGATTCTCGGCCGGTTGATGAAATCGAGGACCAGCAGTTGGAGATGATTGCACAAGCTGTCATCACTTTTGAGTTCATGAGTGTCAAACCTAGTCATCCTTGTTTCATCAAAGTCGATTCGGATGCTGATAAAGCTGGCACTTGCAACCGAGGAGGGACTTTTGTTTTGTATAACTTGGCAAGGATCACTAAAATTCTAGACAAGTTTCAGTATGAAATTGACTCTGGGAAGTATCCAGAGTTGTGGGATATTGATAAAGTTGATTTGCATTTATTGGATTCAGAGGTATCTATTTATTTATACAGTAAAAGAAAATTACAATTAAAAAACTAGCATAATATAATTAGAATTAATAAAAGAAAATTTATTAAAAAATTAATTAAACTTTCAGGAAGAGTGGAATCTTATTTATAATTATATTTATGATTATCCATTTATATTAAAACGGATAATAGAAATAGAAGCTAATGGTCACTGTAAAATACATCCACAACTTCTCAGCGCGTTTTTATTAAACCTCTGCCAAAAATTCAGCAACTATTACCGAAGATGTAGAATATTGACGGTAATTATTTTGTTAATTTTAATTACTAAATTATAAAAATCAAATAGTTTATTTGATAATTATTTTAATGAATTCTTATCACAGGATGGACGTTCACAGTTGCTACAAGAAATGATGAGACGCATCTATTTATTAAAAGCCCTCCAAATAGTTTTCACTAACGCTTTAGAAATTCTAAGCATAACTCCAATTTCCAGAATGTAAATTATTTTTCAAAATAAACTAATTTATAAAAAACGCAGAAAATTATTTATTCACCCAGGCATTTGTTACAATTGGGCGTTTTATACAAAAATTTTGATGACATTTCATTGCGAAGAAATTATTTTTGTTCTACTTCAAGTCTCATGATTGGGTTCGTTCAATTGCTTAGGCTCTGGTTCACTGGATGATTTTGATTGAGACGAAGAATCGGCCTCAGGAACTGTTAGTTTGTGGTATAACGAAGTCTTCAGAGGTAGATGAGGTGCTATTTGACTTGGATCGACAAATAATGAATGAGGAACCTAAAAATAATTTTTAAAATTAAGAAATAGTTAAGTTAAATTAAAAATATAATAATAATAATAATAATAATTGTGACCACTAGGCTGAAAAATTTAATTTATATATACAATCGGTTACTGAAAATATAACTCCATTATTATTATTATTATTATTATTATTATTTATTAATTTATTTATTTTACCTTCAAGTATTGCACTTTAGCTTCTCTGCTCGTATATTCACGTATTAAATATTTTTTATGGAATTCATGGTATATTCTGGTGTCATTAACTTTCAGCATTACATTGTCGATTCTCAGGAAATATCTTAATAAAATGAACAAACTTCCAGGCATTACTCTCTGCAAGATAAATATTTAAATAATTATTTAATTAGATAATACTATTTCGACGTTCTAATTAGCAAATTGTCTAACTCCATTTTAGAAAATCTTCCATTTGTACGAAAAAAACAATTAGTTGAAAATTTATGATCACTTTAAAAAACCATTTAATATCATTAATATCTAATAAAGGTACAATATTTTGATTTGAATCATTCAAATAATTTATAATTGGACTATTGCTACATTAAAATATTAAAAAATCACCCTCTAAAAAATAAAGAGTTAGACCAACTGCTAATTAGATCGTCGATTGATATTATTCATTATTCATTCGTCATCTTATGGTGCTTGGTAATTTCAAATCTAATTTTATACGCTCCTGACAAAAACACTTTGGACTTAATCAGTTTAATTTTATTTATAATTCTCATGATAAATGTCTTGATTTGATTTTTTCTAACTTAAATTGTTCTGTGGAGGGATCATCCTGGTCAAACTTTAATCTCTTCTGCTCCTCTATACCGTTTAATGAATGCCATATAACAATTTTTATAAAATTAATAACAGCTTTGATGTTTATCAGATAAATAATGTTGATTGTTTCTCGAAACTATGTTTATCAAATAGAGACTGAGTCAGAGCACTTTATATACTTACTTATTACGCTAAATACGGACTTATTACTATTACTATTACTATTACTTATTAGTACTATTATTAAATATATAACCGGCTTAATGGCTTTGCTGTAGGGTTCAATGTATTGTTTAAAAATAAAATAAAATTATTGATCTTACAATTTTTACTGTCAAAGAAGCTATTCCATTATCATGAAGCTCATCTTCAAAAAGTGTAAGCTCATGATAAAATAAAATTTTATCCTTCCTCTTGAGCTTTTCTAAATCGATTCTCTCATCAGTTTCCTCAATTTGAAAACCTTTACACGTGCCCATGTAATCGGTGGTGAAAGTCCAATCAAATGGCTTTACCTTCTCCTGAAGATATTCTTTGCAATTTGATCTAATAGGTTTAAACATATAAATAATTAAAATAAAACTCATGCAAAAATTAATCAAAAAAATAAAAATATAAAATAATACTGGAATCATCTGACAATTTTTTTATTAATTAAATTTAAATTTAAAAAAAAAAACTTTTAAAAAATTACACTTATAATTTTTCAAATCTTCTACACGTAGAATTTTTTATTTTATTTTTTTTTTGTAGACATTGTCAAATGTCTGCTAATTTAATTTTATGGGACCAAAATTATCAGATTCTTGACAATTTTTTTATTTTTCTTGAAAATTGAACCAGATCTAGAAAATTATTTTTAAAAAATTGCATTTATAATTTTTTTTTAAGCAAATTTTTTAAACAAATTTTTCTTGCTATAATTTATTTATTAAAAAAATTTCTAAAATTTATCAGATGTTTCTCAAATTCAGTATCATTTAATTTTCATAAATATAAATACCGTGATTCTTGCCAAGCATCAGCGCAAGCCAATTTCACATTAATTTTCCCATTGGCGACAAGTTTTAGCGCATCAAGCGCATTGAAGTTAAATTCGGCTTTTCCATGATGCTTCAAAGTCAAAATATTGTTGGGGAATACCATGTCCGGCATGTGAGGCATCTCCAACGCTCTGTTGTACCTGCAATAATCATTGAAAGTCAAGATAAATAAAATTTCAATAAAAAAAAAGGAATTATAATTGAAATTTATTAAAGTTTGTGAACTCACTCGCAAAATTGACAAGGATCACTGTCAGCAGGACAAGATTCTTCATGTTTGGAGCACTTGGAGTGCAATATATGGGACTGAGTGTACTTTATCTGCCAGGGAGGAAAGATATGCTCCTCTTGGTTGACAGGTAACCGCAGTATGTCAATACCTCCGTGTACTTTAATTGTTGTCATACCTAACAAATGATAAATTGTCATTAGAAAATTTTTTTAACCTTAAATAAAAAATTTTTTTATAAATTCAGATTGATATTAATAAATTTCAGTGATTATTGATTTATTTTAAGAAAAAATGATTACTTACTGATAAGGTAGACAAGTTTTGTTTTAAAAATTTCATAAATATTCTAAAAAAATTAGAAGTATTTGAACAATGACATTCGTTGAATTAAAAATTCTTGAATTGTTTGTATTTTGATACAAAGATTAGTCATTTATATATTTTAATATTGAGTTTCGCCATTGAGCGAGCCACCGGTTAATTTTAACTATTTTTCAGTTAGTTGTTTGAAAAAATTTTTAAAAGTTTAAAACTATTTGCACATTTAATTTTCTTAACTATTAATTTCATAGATAAAACAAAATTTTTTATTTGCACAATTAAAACTCAAGATAATTGAAAAATTAAAATTTTTCATGGTGTAATTTTTCAATCAAATTAATTACTACAAAAAAAAAGTATTTTAAAAACTTGTTAAATTTTTACAAACAAAAATTTTATAAATTTTCTACAAAATTTATTTATCACAAAAATAGTAAATTTGCGCTAACTTCATTGTTATTATAAAATTTAACTATTAAGCCTAGCGGAATTTTTATGCACTAGCATCTATTTTCTGTATCGCAGTCTTGACCTTCTGAACAGTAAATTGACATTTGTCAAACAACAGAACAAGTTTATGGAGTTTTTGCTACACTAAAATTAATTATTCAAATATCATTAATTAATAACTTTAAAAATACGAATTCAAGATGAATCCTATTAATTTAAATACATTAAACAACGATGAATTAAGTAAAATAATGGACTCATTCGATTACATCCTTACTGATTGTGACGGTGAGTGACTAATTATTTTTCATATAATTTTCTCAACTCAATAAATTGCTTATGAAAACAAAATAATTATTTGTCATCGAAAAAATTTTGCAGGGGTACTTTGGCACCACAATAACCCAATAGCTGGAGCTGCCGAGGTTATGAACTCTTTTGTAGGTCTAGGAAAAAAAGTATTCTACATCACGAACAACAGCACCAAGTCTTGCGAAGAATTCCTTGAGAAATTTAATAATTTAAAATTTCCTGCGCATGAAGATAATATTTTGTGCACTTCATACTTAGTTGCCAAGTATCTTAAGAATAAAAATTTTCAGAAGAAAGTTTATATGATTGGATCTGCAGGTAATTTTTTTGTTATAAAATTATAAGACTTACCCTGTTTAAAAAAAGTATTGAGAACAATGGGAACGGAATTGAAAAGATTTACTTTCATAATAAATCGAATTCTTTCCAATTCCGTTTCTATTGTTCTTAATACTTTTTTTAATCAGGGAATTGATAATTCCAAAATTAGCAGACATTAAAAGACTTTTAGTTTTTTTTTTTTTTTAATAATTTAATTGGAAATAAAAAAATATTTTTTAAAAATTGCATGTATAATTTTTCATGACATTTAAATTGGCAGATAGTTGAAAATTTTTAATAGTAAACCAGGTACAGAAAATCATTTTTAAAAAATTGCATTTTTAATTTTTTAGAGTTTTTAAAGATGAAATTTTGTTAATACATTTTTCTTCTTATAATTTATTAGTTATCAAATTTCTAAAATATCTGAAATTTTTATTTCAATTTTTTCGTAATAATTTAATAATAATAAAGTTAGCCGACATTTTTGATTTTTTACTTTACTTTTTAATAATTTAATTGGAAATAAAAAAATATTTTTTAAAAATTGCATGTATAATTTTTCATGACATTTAAATTGGCAGATAGTTGAAAATTTTTAATAGTAAACCAGGTACAGAAAATCATTTTTAAAAAATTGCATTTTTAATTTTTTAGAGTTTTTAAAGATGAAATTTTGTTAATACATTTTTCTTCTTATAATTTATTAGTTATCAAATTTCTAAAATATCTGAAATTTTTATTTCAATTTTTTCGTAATAATTTAATAATAATAAAGTTAGCCGACATTTTTGATTTTTTTATTTTACTTAATTTATTAAATTATAACTAAAAAATATTTTTAAAAAATTGCACTTATAGTTTTTGAAGTTTTCAACAAATGAAAAAAAATTTTTTTGTAATTCTTTAATAAAAAAAAATCATAAAATTTTTTAGATGTCGGCTAACTTTATTTTCATAATAATTTATTCAATAAAAACAAATTCTAAAAATTTTCAAATGTCCGCTAATTTTATTTTTATGACATTTGATTATTTGTATCAAACGTAGGAATTGTAAAAAACTATGCAATTTTTTTAAAAATAATTTTCTACAATTAATTTTTTTGATAAAAAAAAATCATCAAATTTCTGAATTTCAGTATTATTATAAAATTTACAAGCATTTTAATTTTTTTTCAAATGAATGAATTAATAAAAATTTCTATGATAATAAAATGATCATAAATTAGTAAAATATTTAACAAACTCCAAATGTTTAAATAGTAATAATAATAATAAATTTTTCTAGGAATTGCAAAAGAACTTGATAAAGTCGGTATTGCTCACGTTGGCCTTGGCAAAGACCCGATAACGTCAGACGATTTATCATTCAAATACTTCAAGCCAGAATCCGATATCGGAGCCGTTGTTGTTGGATTCGACTTACACTTTAATTACCTCAAAGTATTAAAAGCTGCTACGTACTTAAATAACAAAGATGTTGAATTTATTGCTACTAATACTGACGAACAGTTTCCTGGTATCAATAACATGATTATACCGGGTAAACATTTTTCTACATTTTATTTTCTAATTTCAAAATTTTACCACCTAACAAAAATTAAAGCATTAATAATTATCTTATCTAATCTATTAATCAGGTACTGGAAGTCTCGTAAAATGTGTAGAAACCTGTTCAGAGCGCAAGCCAACAGTGATGGGCAAGCCTTCGACTTACGTCTCCGAAATGTTATCAAAAAATTATCAGATAAATCCTGAACGTACTCTGATGATCGGGGACCGCGCTAACACCGATATTTTGCTCGGCAAACGCTGCAATTATAAAACGTTGTTAGTATTGACTGGCGTAAGTACCGTCGAGCATTTGGAGAAGTGGAAGAAATCGAGCGACCCAAGCGAGCTCGAGTTGGTACCCACTTACTACGTAAATTCAATAGCTGATCTGCTTACCTGCTTAAAAAAAAATTAAATATCCCAATCAATATTAATAAAAATAGTTACCTCAACTTAAAGTCAATTATTTAAAAATATAATTTTGCTAATGCATTGATTTTGTGATGTTTAATACAAAGTACAAAATAAATATAATATTTATCAATAATTGAAGTAATAATCACTAGCAACCTGCAGTCACCATGTGACTGCCAATATTTACAGTTTTTATAAACAAGAAAACTCTAGTTTAATGATTTTTTTATATTTCTGATGATACTAGGGTAAAATTACCGGTTTTTGCCATCTTGGGACCATTTTTCGCCACTTGATATTTTAGTGAATTTGTAAAAAATTTAACTATTCAAGTAGAATTTTTATAGAATTTATGAATTAGTATACTGATAGAAAGATTTCTTAGCATTTTAGAAGATTTCTTTGTATTTAAAAAATCATTTCTTAAACATGATTTCTTATTATTTAAAAAATATTTATTAGTATTTAAGAAATATTTCTTAGTATTAATAGTATTTCTTCGTATTTAAGAATACAAAGTATCTTAAATACAAAGAAATCTTCTTAAATACTAAGAACTCCTTCTATCAGTGTACATTTATACGAATTGAATTCATAGTTTTGCGCTTATAGAAATATTTATACAAAAATTTGAAAATAAATGGTACTTCTACCCTATACGTAGTTTGGGTACTTTTTAAATAAATTTTAAAAATAATAGTGCTATCACAGGATCAATTACAAATAATTTAATGAACACACATCTGACGGAATTTATAGAACCAACAAACTATTTAAAACTGCTCCAAAAATTTGACATAAAAAAGTGACTACTAAAAAATATATAAAACCAAAAGGCACTAATTCATATCAAGACCTTTTTGATAATACCAAATGCAATTATAAAAATTCTTTTCAAAATAATAATATGCTCGTCACAAAATTTTCCTTACTTTTTCAATTATTTAAATTATAAATGACTATTGCTGAAAAAATATCAAAACCAATTTACGATAAAGATAAACTCGTCGCAAAATTTTTCTTAATCTCTTAATTAAATAAATTAATTTTTGACATATGACTACATTGACATACAAAACAAAATAAGTAAATGAAAAAATTTTGTTTATCGCGAAATTCTAATCTATTTATAAGGTAAAGATCCAGTTATTGACAATGGCCTAGTTATTGACACTTGGAATTTTAAAATTTTTAAAATTAAAAAAAAAAACAAATCAACTCTAATAAATTAATGAATATAATTTTTGAATTATAAATTTTAAGATAATTGATTTTTTGAGAATATTTTATTTTTTTAATTAGAATAAAATTGCAATTTTTACCTTAACTAATTTGAAAACTTATCATAATAAATTAACTATTGCTGAAAAACATTGAAAAGGCACATGTTCAGGTCAATTAAATTAAAAAAATTAATTTCATCTTATAAATACGCAGGAGAAAAAATTTTGCTTATTCTCTCAATTATATAGATAATAAAAATAATAATAATTAAATTTAGTTATTATTATTCATTATACATTCCATCAACGAGAAAGTCCATGCGACGATAGTGCCGCTTTTCCCAGCAGTCGCAGTAATTATTATAAATAAACATTATAAAAACAATAACAATTGGTAATAAAAATATCGTTGCAACAACAGGTAATATATAATTTAATTTATTAGAAGTATCCGAGGATTTTAGGGGTTTTTTAACGACTTTTTCCTCTTCTTCAAGATCGTCGACGGTTGTCACAGTTGGTTTTGGCTTTACACTTTTATTATTGTCATGTTTGTCTGAGATTTCACTTAAGGAATGTGAAGAATTTAAATGCGAACTGTTTTCAGCTGTTTCAACTCCCTTTCGCGCAACAATTGTCTTGCTAATTACTCCTTTCCGTGGCTTCACATTGCGCTGTTCAATTAGCGACTTATTGCTGGTGTCTAAGCTACTGTAGGATGCGTTGGTCAAGGTGATTCCTTCTGCTACGGTCACGTTGCTTTCCAAGAGTTTTTTCGGCTAGAAAAATTTTATTATTTTTATTTATTGATTGCAAGTAAATATAATATAAATTCAATAAATTTTAGTGGTCAATTAATTAATTACTGTTTCAGAAGTTTGGTTGAAGGTTATACCCAGTTCTAGACACAAAAACAGTACGAGTATCTTCAGATACATATTTAGATTTTATTTTTCTGAGTATATTAATATTATCAGTGAGTATTTTATATTTTTTAGACGGACAAAATAAAAAAAATAAACAAAAAATTAAATAAAGTTATTTCACCCAAGCATCTACATGGTAGAGCATAATATTGTAACTGATGTCAGTAATGGATATAACTCGGGTGAAAGTTTAGGCCCGAGTTTCTAGTCTTTTTTTTTTTGACTTAATAAGTTTCACTGATTGGCTGGATTTGAATTTTCGCGCCAAAACTTTCTTCTGTGTTTATTTTTAACGCCATGTTTGTATTTTATAATTTAATTATTAAAATATGTGCTAATCTTTGATATAAATTGACATTTTGGAAAAACGTGAAGTTTGTGAAAATATTTTTTTGCTTACAGTTATACTATAAATAAAAATAAAATGAAGATTATTGAAAGAAGAAATGAATTAAAGAAATTTAAAAAAAAATCACAGTTAAGAGAACGTATGTTTTATTTTTATTCTTATTTCATTATCATGTAATTTCTATGACATTAAAGTTAACAGGCACTTAATCATTTTTTTTAACAAGTAGATTTTTTCCAACAAATTATTTTTAAAAAATTTAATTTTTTATTTTTGTTAATTTCTACATGTCAATTTTTTTTTACTTTTTATTTGCCACAATTTGTTTGTTAAAAAAATTCTTAAAATTATAAAATATCTGCTAAATTAATTTTCATGTAGTTTTTTATTCAAAGTATTTATAATGTTAAAGTTAGCAGTCACTTAACCATTTTTCAATTTTATTTAACAAATAAATTTGTTCTGAAAAATTATTTTTAAAAAATTGCATTTTTAATTTATTAAAATTTCTACCTGTCAATATTTTTTTTTTTCTTTTAATAATTTATTTGTTAAAAAAATTCTTAAAATTATCAAATATCTGCTAAATTAATTTTAATAAATATTTCCAGGTTCAGAAAATAATAAACATTTTAGGATTTGGATGATAAAGTATCGAAAATTTAATGCATATAAATTTATAATAAATTACACTGAAGAAAAGTATGACATGTCCTAGATTAAATCATGAATAAATAATGTAATTGCTGGCATTCCTTCATTACATTATTTGGCATTGCATGGATTGCTATATTTGAAGTAATCGATCGCTCCAGGATGCGCGCGCCATGTCCAAGATATGGGTGGAATAATATTCAGTAAGTATTGATAGAAACCCAATAGAAGGATATTCTTCACTAACTATAACTGTAGCTTATAAAAAAACCTTATTTTTTATAAATCACACTTTTTTGTACAACCTTAGACTAAAAAAACTTAAATTCTAAATCTCGTAGACCTCTAGTCTGAGATAACTAAAGATGACAGTTGATTTTGAAACACGTGAGTAAATATTTATCACGGAATGAAAGACAGTTCGAGTAGTCTGACACGAAATAAATAATAATTTATCACTTGAAATAATGACACCAGCATGTCATTTATTAGCATTGGATTGTAATAGTTATCCAGTGTCTAGACCTAGAACTTGTTTGAAGAAATTTAATAATTTTAATAAAAGATAGACGGAATTTTTAAAAAGTTCAGGTAAGAATATTTCATTAATCTAAAAAAAAAAAAAAATTATCTTAAAAGATCATTCTGGTTCCGGGGCTCGAAAAAAACAATTATTCATTATTTTTATACACAGAAACTATTATAGATATTACTATAAAATTTATTTAGCTCAACACATACACTCTTGAGTAACACAAAAAATATCTAACTTTATTTTTTTTATATGAATAAACAACAGGTGAACGGACCTCCTTTAAAAGTTGATATGCCGCTGACGTACGTGATAACTTGATAATAGCTCATCTAAAATACAAAACAAAAAGTATTTACCTTCAGTATATACGTAACTATTGCTTCAGCTACGGAGATTAATATTTATTAATAAATAACAAAACAGCGGAGATTAAAAAAAAAAAAACTGAAAAATGTGGCTTTTTTCACAGTTTTCTAAGAAAATATTAAAAATAAAAATTTTGATTTGGTTGTAACTGGTGCAATAGCTACTACTTTGTAGAATATGTAGTTTAAATTTTTTATTAAGATCGGATCAGTGGTTCTGAAGATATTATGTACGTAAACCTGAAAAACATAATTCGGAGATAAACGTGTTTAAAGTTTTTTTAATTAAAAAAAAAAAATCTTACCTAAAGTCAATTAGCAATGCCGGGAGCACACAAAATCCATTCAGTCTTTTTAAGAATTTGATTTTTCTTCCACTCGAAAATCCATATAAACATTGTTAAATAATATCTATTTATTTATTTAATGATGCCAAGGCCGTTGCAAAATAATTTTGCAATAGTGAATACAAATAATAGAAAATTCTGGATATAATGAAGATAACAATAAAGTTACTTATGATTAATTATAATATGATTTAAATTTCATTTTAATGATTTAACTAGGATAGATGAATTGATATAATAATTGTAGATATAAAAGTCAATAACGATAACAATGTTATTAATATTAACACAGGAAATAATAATAATAATAAGTAACTTAATTTAAATCTCTAGCTCCATTAAATAATCAAATAATTTGCTTTTAAAGACCTCAATACTGGAAACACAAATAATATCAGGGGGTAGTGTTTGCTAAAGATGAATAAGTAACAGTGATAACAAATGAGTTTTCATAATAATTTGATGCAAAATGCGGAATTTCAAAGTTAAGATTGTTTGATTTGTAAGCTAAATCTTTGTGATCGTCGAGAATCAATATCGATAAATTGTTCATTCAAATAAGTCGGCTTATCTACTTGTAATAATTTACAATTTTTGTAAAAAATATGTTGCTATGTATAATAATACAGTTACAGTGGTCCGATCACTTTGAAATTTTAACCCGATACTTGTAGATATCTGTACTTTCGAGCAATGTAAAAAAAAAAAAATAATTTTTTCAAAAGTTACAAACCAGAATGATCCTTTGATTAATTCAAGAATTAATTAAAATAATTTTAATTACATTATCAAATTTCAGATGAGTAATCATTCACGAACTGTAAGTTTACTAAGTGTGACAGCCTTATGTATAATAAACATAACCTTGACCTTTTTTCTACTTCAATCCCCGACCTGCGACCCGAGCGAGATCCCCGAGGAATTAAAATACGAGGCTGTGACAACATGGGACGTCGAGTCGCAGCCGGAAGACAACAAGTCAACCCAGTGCCTACCCCCTCACACGTACTTGAACCCCAAAATGAATCTAATCAACACCTCCCACTCCAGGGAGAACATCCTCAACCTGGACATTCGCTTGGGAAGGTATGACAACCGGCGACTGTTCAAGACCTTCGACACGGTGCTGATCGGCACCAGATTCGCGGAATTGTCGACGACAAACTTGGTCTGTCTGGCGACCCAGACTTCCTTGGAGAAGCTGCACTCGCTGGTCCAGGTTGCCCACCACTGGACCGGCTCGATTTCCGTCGCCCTTTACTCCGCTGGCGACGAGGAATTCGAAGCTCTCCAGAAGTACATCGTGTTCCTGAGGAAGTGCTACACGCCGGTTCTCGAGCGCATTAATTTTTCTCTGGCGATGCCCAGGAGCAAACTGCCCTCAAAGCAGCCCCGCAGTTTCGAGCCTCCCATGGACTTCGGGTGCTCCAGACCCGAGGCGACTTTGAATGACCTGGTGAACAAGATCTCCAAGGAACACACCAACTGGCGAGTGAGGAATGTTTATCCGCAGAATCATATGAGAAACCTCGCCAGGAAAAATTGCCAAACTGACTGGGTTTTTCTTACGGATATTGATATTATTCCCAGTATCGGGCTTGCCAATTCAATAAATTTATTTTTACGTGATACCGAACGCTGTGATAAGTGTGCTTACGTTATTCCTACTTATGAAATAGATACCAGGGTCAGATTTCCTGGAAATAAAACTGAGTTGGTCAGATTGGCTCGCAAGGGTTTGGCTAGACCTTTTCATTGGAAGGTTTTTATTCACAATCAATACGCTACTAATTTTACAAGGTAATTTTTTTTTTATTAATTATTATTGTTATTTAAATTTGATATTTTTTATTTATTTTAATAAATTTTTCAGATGGGTTTTAGATGTAGCACCAGAGTCTAAGAACTATAAAAATATAATTGCTGGAAAAGCCTACATAAGTCATAATGTTACGGACTTTGAATTTCTTTACGAGCCTTTTTATATTGCTAAAGATATTGTACCTCCACATGATGAAAGATTTATGGGCTATGGATACACGCGTAATACTCAAGTAAGATATAATAATGATAGTTTTATTAATGATCAAATTATAATCAATAAATCAAAAAAAAAAAGATCATAAATCGATAAGGGTCATTCCATTTCAAATCGACAAATAGTTGGAATCGACCCCTTTCGATTTGAACAAATTTTGGTCAGAAGTTTTTTTTTTATCATATAATGAAGTTCTGCCGAAGGAAAAAAAAAAATTTTTTTTTCAAAAGATATGCAAATCCAAAATTTCGCAATTTTTCCAGTTTTTTAATTTTGTTTTTGTAACACCTCGAACGATATTATAGATACAGGAATGGCATTTTGTTTGTTTGAAAGGGGACACTTAGGGCTATTGAAAAAAAAATATTTTGGAAAAAAATTTTGAAAAATGCCAAATTTGTCAAATTTTGAATTTTTGAAAATCGTTAAAAATGACGTTCGAAGTTTAAATTTTGGCTCAATTTTTTTTGTTAAATACCTTGTACTGATCTCAAAAGATTCTGAAATTTTTAGAAGGGTGTTTTTTTTTTTTCAAAAATATGAATTTTTGAATTTCCACAAACAATTTTTTTTTCGTTTTTTTGCAATTTTTAATTAAGGTAAAGTTATGCAGATACATAGTATTGTAATTTTGAGCATTAAAAAATTAAATGCATACCGTGGAAATATTAAATAATAAATTAATTTCAACTTTTTTTTTTTATTTTTTCGACATTATTTTAAAGTCATTCTTAACGCATGAAATGATTCGTTATTTGTCCTTTGTTTACTTTATTTCAAGTTGTTGACACCACTTATCGTCCTATTTGTCCAAATCGAAAGGGATCGATTCCAACTATTTGTCGATTTGACATGGAATGACCCATAATTAAAAAAAAAGTCATCAATAGGGCCAAAATTTTTGCCGTAATTTTAAAATAAATCGGTCAAATGTTTAATATTACGGCGAAAATATTGGTTCTATAAAAAAATATATAAAACAATAGTTGTTCAAAATTTAATTTTATAAAAAAAAAAAAAAAATACTCTTATATTTTAAAAAAAAAAACAATAATTTTGCTGTAATTCCAAAATGAAGATTCATAATGAAACGTTCAAATTGTATGATAGTTATGAATCTTACTTTAGTATGAAATTATGGTCAAATTATTGATCTTAAGAAAAGAACATAAGACTTTTTTTTATAAAATTTAATTCCAAACAACTTTTGTTTAAAAAAAAATTTTCTAGGACCAATAGTTTTGTCATAACATAAAAAATTTGAACCGTTAATTATAAATTTTTATTCTGAATTTGCGGCAAAAATTTTTACGCTAGTCATCAATAATAAAAAAAATTTTTAAAGTTAAAAAATATCTTGAATATAATTGAATAAAAAATAAAACATAGTTTGTTATTTTAAATTCTAAATTTAATTATTAGATCTTATATAATTTATATTTATTCCCAGTTTCATTTTTCTATCTATAAAACTTTTGCAATAAATTAATTATTGTTTTAGGTTTATGAAATGTTTATCGCTGGTTATCAATTCAAAGTCCTCTCACCAGTATTCACAATACATTGGGGCTTGCAAACGAGAAAAAGTCGGTCAGTTTGGCGTGAAAGACAAAACATCATCAACAGACGACAATTTGAACAGTTTAAAAAAGAAATTTATACAAAGTATATGCACAATACGTTGGGATTGATTAATACATTTTACTAAACAAAGATAACTATATATATATATATATATATAATAAATAATATATAAATATATATATATATATATATATATACAAAAATATATATAAATATATTCGTGATATTTAATATGAAATTTTTAATACCTGATGTCTAGTCATATTCTAAAATAAAAATACAATTATAATTATAAATATAACTGTTTTATCCATTTATTTGTCCCATTGTATTTTTTTATCGAGATAAAAGATAAGTGACTTGACCTCCGTTGCTTTAATAAATGATAATCAGTCGAGTTTTAACTTTAAAATGGGTGAAACTAAGCTTACTATTGAAGAAATAAATTCAATGTCGAAGATTGAATTTTGTAAAATATTTGGAAATATTGTAGAACATTTATCGGAAGCGACTGAAGCAATTGAAGAGTTAAGGCCTTTTGAGCATGTTAGTCAGTTGGAAAATTTATTTTGTAATTTTATTGAATATCTTGATGACTCTGGTAATTAATTTAATTTGTAAATTAATTTTATTATTTTTAATTTTTTTTATGATTAATTTTCTGATAGAAAAAGAAATTATTTTAAAAAATCACCCAGAGTTGACGGGAGAAATTTACAATGAAAAAATTTTGACAACAGAGTCTCAAAATGAGCAGAAGATCGCGGGAATTAATCAGATGACTACGGAAGAAAAAATACTTTTTAATAACTTCAATAAATTGTAAGTAAAAAAAAATCTATTTAAGTAATAAAATATAATCATCCAGAAATTAACAGACATTTGTTAATTTTTTCTAATTTTTATAATAATTAAATTACAATAGAAAAATTAGAAAAAAATCTACGTCTAGAAATTAAAAAAAATTACGACTAAACTTTTAAAAAATAATTTTTTATAAAAATAAAAAAAATTGTCAAATGTCGGCTAATTTCATACTTTTTTTTTAGGTACAAAAATAAATTTTCGTACCCATTTGTAATCTGTGTGCGCGAAAACTCTATAGCTTCGATAATTTCATCTGTTGAATCGCGGTTGAAGAATCCGCGAAATGTCGAGTTGGGTATCGCAATAGAAGAAGTCAAAAAAATAAGCAAGCTGCGCTTAAAAGATCTGGTTGACTATTCTTGATTAATTATCAATTAAGAAAAATTTTATTTTGATGTAATGTGTGATATATAAGGGGTACATTACCAAGTTATCAATTAATTATTAATAGTAAGTTATAACAATCTCAATTTTTTCTCCACAACTGCGTGAGGCTGGAGCATTTGCTCTCTGAACTCAACTGGGTTCAGTATATCCTCAAATCTGTAATCAAAATTAATTGATTAATAAACTAATAATAATAATTATTAATTGTTTAAAAAAATATAGTGTTAAATATTTTACCCAATTTCTTCGTCACGTGCTAGCAAAACGTCACGCATGACGTTTGACGATGGCAAGAATGGGTGTCGGCCAACCTGGTCAGCGGCTTTCAGTTCCATTGCTAAACGGATTGGAGCATGAAGACCCTGGATGTTTCTCATTAAGACCATTTCACGTTGTAAACGATTTTGATGGAACTATTTTTTAAGTTTTGTTATTAATAGTTATTAATAAATAATGGAAAATTTTTTTTCATTTTGATAATGACTTGTCAATTTTTAAAATGAAAATTAATTTAGCTGCCACTTAAAATTTTTTAGAATTTTATTTATTAAAAAAATTTCTACAAAAAAATTTAATTTGTAAGAAACTTGAAAAACTATTTAGGTAAAAAACCTCATTAGTGGCACTTTTTCTTTCAATGAAAAAATGTTCTACTTGGAATAAAAATTAAAAATTTTTTTGATCTAAAAATCTTAAGATAGTATGAGCACCAAGGCAATTTTTGATAAAGGGCTTGATTTTTTTTAATATGAAGTTTAAATATATCTAAAATTTGGAAGAGATTGCCCGATTATTTAAATAAATAATTAACTTTGAAGTTGAGCAATTTAACATTGGTCTTATGGGGTAATCTCCATACATTGATAAATTTCTGTATTTTTTCGTAAAAGTCTCGGTGAATATTTTTAAACTAGTGATCAATTTAATTCAAAAAAATTTACATTTGCCCCACTAATTAAAGTCTATCAATTAAAAGAAAAATAAATGCCGGCATTAGCTAATGTTAAATGGATATCTATATATTGAGAAAAATCATGTGGTTACTGCTCTCCCTTTACCGCGTTAGAGTCGATACCTATCCACACCTCGCCTAGCGTTCATACTACCTTAAATATTATAAATAATATATTCATAATAGAAATTAATGACTTAATTAATGGGATCCTCGTCACTAATGGGATCTTTTGCCATAGTGCAATTTTTAATAAATATTTTTTAGTTCTGTTTTAATAAATAAATGAAAAAATTAAAAAACGTCGGTTAACTTTAGTATTATATTTTTAAAACAGGTTTTAGAGAAAATAAATAAATCTTACATTGCGTTCTGAAGTTTCAAGAGGATGACTGACTCCAAGATTTTGACGTGGGTTTGCCAATCTACAAATAAAAAAAAAAAAACAAGAAAATTAATTTAAAATAAATATTGAATTACCAATAAGTTGATGAAACTGAAACTGAGAAACATTTGATCATTTTGAGAATTTTTTTAACAAATAAATTACAGCACGAAAAATTTATTATAAAAAATTACATTTTTAGAAGCTTTGAAAATTATAAATGTAATTTTTTTTTAAATAATTTTCTAGACCTAGTTTAATTTAAAAAAAAAAAATAATAATAAAAAACTTGTCAAGTGTCTGCTAACTTCGTCATACAATTTGAATAAATTGAATAATAAATTTATACCCGTGAATCATTGGATCTGGAGCACCATAAGCACCAGTTGGCATGTCAAAACTTTCTGTCTGCTCATGAGAAGATCCCAAATTGAAACTCTGTGTAACAAAAAAATGAAATTAAAAATCATTATTATTTTCCTATGAAAATAATATCAATATCCTAACCTAAAAACTTATTTACTCAGTGTAAAAAAAATTTCCACTCAATGGAAGAATATTTTTACGATAATTAATTAGTTTGTGAACTAACTTACCATTTTTGTTTATTTTAAATAAAAAATTATTGAACAATTAGTGGTATATTTGTTTAAAATTCTGTGTAAATTCAGGGAATGACAATTATTATTCACTATTGTAATCCTCACAATGATGATGCCAATTTTTAAATCACAAAAGCGCGTTTTCATCAAACTTCTGTCACGTGTTTGCGCAAGCGCAAGAAATGGAGCGAAAATTTAAAAAACTTACGACAAAGTGCAATTTTCAACAGATTCTGGGATTCAAATATGGCGATCACATGTTCTATGTTTGTAAACAAATAGAATCTTAATGTAAACAAATCGCGATTATTATTAAAGGATAAATAAACTTACTTATAAATAATAGAAAACAAAAAAATTAATAATGAGTGCAGTGGACTTCTTGATAGTTATCGGATTTATTCATTGTTCTTTATTTTTTATCAACATACTATTTCGGGTAATTTTATTATTTATGATTCACATTATAATTATAATTATTTTAAAATTAGCAGATATTTGACAATTTTTTAGATTTTTGTAACAAATTAATTATTTTTTTAAATTCGCTCTTAAAATTTTTTTTAATTTTTACATGTGAAATTTTTTTAGCAAATTTTTTTTTTTAGAATAATTTAATTGTTATAAAAAATTGACAGATGTCTGTTAACTTTAATGTAATATAAAATAAAGTAATAAAAAAAAATTTATTTTTCAGTCATGTCTGCACTATCCATATTTTTTATTCATGGAAAATACCGGGCTTGAAATAAAGCCCTTCAGAGTAGTTTGGTTCACTTCTTTTTTTAACAGAAAAATAATAAAATGGTCAATGGAAAAAACAAAATTGTTATCTCTGTGGTTCAATTTAGGCGTTATTGTCAGTATAATTTTGCTACCAATCGCCTTGGGAGTTTTGATCAAGATGACATTGTCTAATTTTGTGAATAAATCAACTGGAGATACAGCTGATGTCAACTGGCAGTTAGAACCCATGGTAATATTTATCATCTTTAACTTTCTATTACAACCAATTAATCTATATGACATTAAAGTTAGCAGTCACTTGATAATTTTTTAATTTTATTTCACAAATAAATCTTTACTGAAAAACTATTTTTAAAAAATTGCATTTATAATTTTTTTAAATTTCTACATGTTAATTTTTTTTCTCATTTATTTTTGCCATAATTTAATTGTTAAAAAAATTCTAAAAATTAACAAATATCGGCTGGATTAATTATCATTTAATCTACTGATTAATTTTAGATCCCGGGAATTAATGTACCAGTGTCTGACATCCAGTACTACATAATAACCCTAGGAATTTGCAGCCTGTTCCATGAGCTAGGTCACGCTGTCGCAGCATCTCGCGAAAACGTCCAGATTTACGGAGTTGGTTTTATCTTGGCATTGGTTCTGCCAATTGCGTATGTTTCAATAAACCAAGAGCAGTTGAAGTCGCTTAAAGTACCAGGTCAGTTGAGAATTCTTTGTGCTGGAGTGTGGCACAATATTTTTCTGGCTGCTGTAGCGGCTGCTATTTTTTATTTGAACTCGTGGATTTGGGTACCTCTGTTTGTTTCAAATTCTGGAGTTTTTGTAACATCGATTGCGATGGTGAGTCTCATAATATTTCAATTTCTTGAAGTTGAGGAATTTTTATTAATTATTCATATTTTTTTTTTTTTTTTAGAATTCACCGCTACTGGGAGCAAGAGGCTTAGAAGCTCGAGATATTATTTTAAAAATAAATAATTGCGAAGTTAAAAATAATGATGACTGGTATAATTGTTTACTGCAGACAATTAAAGAACCAACACCTGGATATTGTGTTACGCAAAATATTATCGAAGTAATACATTTTGAATTTTTTTTTCTTTTAAATTATTATTATTATTACTATTGTTATTTTTTTTTAATTTTAATATTTAATAAGCGATCAAGTTTCTTTTCAAAATATTTTTTTTTCATGATCTTGAAATATTTTTCGTTCAATGCTCCGATTGAGGATTAAATATATTTTCATTGAAAATCAGTTGGAGCGTTGAACAAAAAATATTTCAAAATCATAAAAAAAAATAAAAACGGCGAAAATGGAAGTAGATTTCATAATGAATAAAAAAAAAACAACTACTAAGGTAAGACCCAGTTATTGACACTGGCCTAGTTGATTGACACTTGCAATTTTATTATAATTAAAAAAATAAAATGTTCTCAAAAAACCAATTCTCTTAAAATTTATAATTAAAAAATTATATTTATTAATTTATTAGAGTTGATTTGTTTTAATTAATTAAAATAAAATTACAAATGTCAATAACTAGGCCAGTGTCAATAACTGCGTCTTTTACCTTAGAATTGTGTATGTACAAAAAATAAAAAAAACCAGTGCAACAGTAAATTTCATAATTGGCATAGTGGAATAGGACATAATTTTGAGACTCCACATATGATATGTTACTCTAATTGAAGCTTATTTAAAGAGTTTTCAGATGCAATTTACAGAAATCCAATAAGTTATCCCTTTCAAGAGTTATTCGAGTAAGAAAGTGAAGAAATATGAATTTTTATGATTTTAAAAATTTTTAAATCCTGGCATTTCTAAATTATTTGACCGATTAAGCTCATATATCTTCGAACTTGACTTCGATATCTATCTGTAGAATAAGTATGTTGAGTTTGGTAAAGATCCGTTGTAAATTGGCGATGCTATCGTCGTGACAAGCCGCGTTATATTTATTATATATATATAAATATGTGGAAGCTCTGTTTAACGAAAAACTCGATATAACGTAGAAAATATCAAAGTTTGTTTGGTTTGCATTATTATTTCTATATTTAAACACTCAATCGAATTATAAATTGAGTATTCTAATTACCAAAGCAAATGTATATTACTATACACAGATAATGTCATTTGATTTCTATGCTTTTCGATTTTTACAGCCTTAGTTGCTTTCAGACATTCAATATTTTGTCATGGCTACTAAAAGAAAGGCTTTGTGTGTAGATGAAAAATTTTCTGTGATTCGAGCCATCGAAAATGGTGAAAAAAAAAAGTGTAGTTAGAAAGCGGTTTGGTTTTAGTGCATCTACTGTCTCGACTATTTGGTCCAATAGGGAAAAAATTCTTCAGGCAGAAATTGACAGGAAGTTTGTTAAAAAGTTAAAGAGGCCAAAATTTGAAGATTTAGATCAAGCAATGCTGTCTAAAATAATTTACCGATTTCGGGACCAATTCTCAAAGCGAAAGCAAAAAAATTCGCAAAACAATTAAATATAAGTAACTTTAAAGCTTCTGAAGGTTGGCTCGGAAAATTTAAGCAACGCCATAACATCAATTTCGGTAAAGTGAACGGAGAAGCTAGAGATGTAGACAAGACTGTTACTGATGATTGGCTCAATAACAAATGGCCAGAATTAAAAAAAAAAAAATATGATCCAAATGATATTTATAATGCGGACGAAGCAGGGATTTTTTATAAGTTGACTCCAGACAAAACGTTGAAATTCAAAGATGAGAAATGCGTGGAAGGCAAACTTTCAAAAGAGCGAATTACTGTTCTAGTCGCTACGAACATGAGTGGTACAGATAAAAGGAAGCTTACGGTGATAGGAAAGTCAAGGAACCTTAGGTGTTTCAAAAATATTAAGCGACTACCAGTTACCTATAAAGCAAATAAGTCTGCGTGGATGACAAGTCAAATTTTCGAGGAAGAATTGCGAAAATGGGATACAGAGTTAAAAGGACGAAAAATTTTGCTGCTTGTCGACGACTGTCCAGCTCATCCCAGTATATCTGATTTTTGTAATATTGAGTTGGTATTTTTTCCAGCTAATACAACCAGTGTCCTACAGCCAATGGATCAAAATGTAATTAAAAGTCTCAAAGGTCATTACAGAAAAAGGTTATCGATGGAGTTCATAAAATCTGATGGAACAACTTCGATCACTATGTTGCATGCCGTTAATTTTTTATCCAAGGCCTGGGAAGAGATAACACCAACCACTATTCAGCACTCTTTTCGTCATGCAGGGCTTTGTGATAGTTTTCCAGAATTTGAGCCCAAGATTGAATGTGACAATGAGCATTCCCTGATCGAATGGAGTCGAAAATTCGATTTGGACAGTTACATCGATTTAGATAGTTACATCAAAGCTGATGAAAATCTAGCCGTTACAGCTACTCTTACTGACAGAGAAATTCTAGATTCAGTGAGAGCAAGAGAAGAAGAACAAGATGATGAAGGAGAAGAAGAAGAAGAAGAAGAAGAAGAAGAACCAGCTGACGTTGAGCCGAGCATTGACGAAGCATTGAATGCCACTAAATTATTAGAAAAGTTTTTCTTATTTAATGACGATGATCCGGGAATATCGCAAGATATAAATAAAATACAAAAAATAATTCAGTTAAAATATTGGCAAAATAAAAAACGCCAAGCTAAAATAACTGATTACGACTTTTTAAGACAGTAGATGGCACTTTGTATATTATTATGTGTATTCTTAATTTAATAAAATTCATGACATCGTGTGAAATTAATTAGAATTGAAGTACTATTATTCCTCGAATATTAGTCGTTATACATCTTCTCTCCGTATAATGAAAACTCTTTATAACGTAAAAAGGTATTCGGTTCCTTGAATTTCGTTATATAGTTTCCACTGTATATACATACATACATATCACGTTATACAGATGCCATAAGGGCGTATAATAAAAATCCTATTTTTTTTTCTGTCCAAAAAAAATTTTTAGTTAGGAAAAAAAAATTAAATGTTTATTATACGCCCTTATGGCTTTTCACCGGGACCTTTTGCCGGTATACGCCCTTATGGCATCTGGAACGCGATATATAAACTTTTGAATCAGCTCGTATGTATTTTCTGACTCAGCTCGTCTAGTTAAGTCGAAATTTACCAAAATTTTTCAAAAGTTCCCTCATGAGGACCAATGCAATAGTAAGATTTCTATGAAATCTACTAAAAAAGATTAGTTTGAAACGAGACTAGATCGCCTATTAAATTTTAAAATATTGAAAAATCATCATTCCCAATCATTAATATCAATAATTGACATAAAAATTGAATTAAATTATTATTATTTTTTAGGAAAACGATGAATCAATTCCATCATGGATGTCCGAAAATGGGGTAACAAATTGCTGTAAAAATAAAAACGATGGAAATTTATGTTTTGAGTATGTTGAAAATTCGCAAGATCCTTTAGAATTGCCACCATATTTTTGTTTACCAGCTAGAAGAATAATTGAAAAATCTGAAAAAATGTGTCAATTATTTTCCGACTGTTCAGGATCAGATGTTCATTGTATCAAACCTTCTGTTGACAATATAACAAAAGTAAGTCTACTTATTTTCAATAATAAAATAATAAATTAATAGTTTATCATAATGACATTATTTTGGAATTATTTTACAGATTGTAAAGTTATCAACGCATAAAGGAAATGTCTTGTTTCTAGGCCACGCGGTAGAAATTTATCGCACTGTCAAGACATCGAACTGGACTCCAAAGTATCAGCTTTTCAGTCCCAGTCTCCCTGAAGGGCTCGAAACACTCTGCAAGTACGTGACTGTACTGTCCTTAGGCCTCGCTGTGATAAACATAATCCCTTGTTTTTTTTTCGACGGTCAATACATAGTCGAATCTCTTGTTCAAAGTACTCTCAGGTCGATAGTCAGACAAAAGAGCGCACGAAATTCAATCGCTTTGATTATTACGTGCTCTGGAAGTGTTGTTTTCATAATTAATTTGATTGTCGCTTTAACCAAAATGTACTGAGTCATATAATTATTTTTTTAATAAGAAATACATGTAAATATATACATTCTTTACAGAAATTTTAAATTACTTTGAGTAGTTTAAATTTTTCTCCAGCTCCTTCATCGAATTTTCTCCGTGGACTATCAGAGACTTTATTGCAAACTAAAAAAAATATTTTTATTATTATTTAAATTATTGTATAGGTTATTACATTATTATAATTATATTTTAAGTAATTTACCTCATCAGTTATACTTTTATTAGCTTTGAACTCGGATCTGGCCCAGTCAAGAAAATAATTTTGGTCTTCTTTTCCGGGTATTTTTCTGATAGTCCTTAAAATATTCCTGTAAAGTGTTATTACTTGCTGTCGGACTAAAAACTGGAGTAAATATTATGATTTTGTTAAACAAAAAAAAATTTATTATTGTGTATAATTGTAAAATAATTAAAGAAGCTTACTTGTTTGAGGTTCATAGAAGAACTAGATATTTTATTTAACATTGATATTAAATTAATTAAAAATTTTTATTGAAACTCGGAGCAAAACATTTAATTTTTGTTATTAATTTGGCAGCACTGAAGTTTTTATAAAATTATGAAAAGGAAAATTAATAATGAAAATTTATTCAAGAATTAATATTTTGAAATTACGAGTGAAGAAATGTTAATTTAAAAATTGATAAATTTCAGTAAAAACTCAAGACTTTTTTATTTAAAAATTTTTAAATATTTGTCACTAGAATCTAGTGAAAAAGTACTAGAAATCAAGTATGTTATGCTTCAATTCCGGAGAGCTTCAAACTCCGTTCTTCTCCCACCATAACTCCCATACATATATCCACTCTTGTACATATATAAGTACACATATTTCTACCACATATAAATGATTTTCACACTAATATATAATATTTTCTATTATATTTACATTACATTTATTTATAAATTATATATATTGCAGTTGATTAATATTCGTATTTTGCAAATTAGATTAAGCTTATTACTATTTCTATCAATCTATAATTTATTAAAACTATGAAATAGTTTAATTGTTAATGTAAGAGATAAATATCAATTAATAATATTATTTTATAAAATCTTATTCTTTTAACATTAATTAATAATTATTTATAGGTTGGATACAGGATATAAATTGTTAATTCAATTTTTATATACTTCGTTGCAATATTATATTAAAGCAAGTTTAACAAAAATATGTTATTTAACGATCTTATTCTTTGTTAGATATTTGTTACGTTATTATTTAGCCGTTGAAACAAGGGATCGTAGAATTTTCCTCACACGTGTCTTTTATGGCTTTTCCTCAGAATCTCAAGTACCCTAAGGTTTCTCAGAACTCAACTACAATGTCCCTTTGTACTCGACAATAGCTTACATTTATTTGAAACAAAATATACTCTATAAAATAAATATTCAACGATACAGAACCTAAATTTTCTAATTTGAACAGTGTTCACTATTTAAATTATGAATTAATAAAATAATTTAATATAATCTAAATTACATTTAAATTTGCACTTCACTGCTAGTAGCGTCATCTGCTGGATGCATCTAGAGGCATTACAAGTACCATTTTCAAGACACTGAAGTTAACTGACATTAAAATTTTTTTTATAATTTTATAGCAATGAAATTACCAAGAAAAAAATTTTTTAAAAATTCCATTTGTCAAAATTAAAAAAAAAAACTACCTATTAGTAGAAATTTTAAATCATTATTTTTCGTAATTATTTTTTTTTAAATTATAAAAACTGACAGCTGTCAGCTAACTTCAGTATCATCAATTTTTTAGGGTTAGTTAAATTTTATAGGTTACTCAACTCTAATTTGTTGCGGTGTACACGTGACAATTGACATATTGCAGGCTGATTTGTTGACAACAATTGTTTTTTTTTTTTTTTTTTTATTAAAATAATCAACTTCAATAATTGAGTAAGTGTTTACAAACAAATTTTATCTTCACGTCAAACTAGTATTTAAATGTCAGTTTTGAATTACAAATAAAAAAATTTTAAATAATTAATACTAATTAATTTTATTAAACATTTCAGATAATGGAGTGAAAAATTAAAACCTCAGCAAGTAGTTTAGCGCATTGCTTAATAATTTCAAAATGAAAATGAATAAACCTCAGCAAAGTAAGTCAAATTAATTTAATTAATTTTTTTTTAATTTTTCTAATTATTTTAATTTTTCCAGGCAACCAGACGTTGAAATATGTAAGTTTAATCACTCTGACGTTGCAAAATGCATTGGTGGGTCTCAGCATGCGTTACGCACGCATTCGACCCGGTGACATGTTTCTCTCGACAACTGGTAATACATTATTGACATTAAAGCAGTAAATTAAATCATGAATTGCGGAATAATAAATTAAATTTTTTCAGCTGTCGTGATGGCCGAGGTTGTTAAATGTGCCACATGTTTGGTGCTGGTGTACTTAGAAGAGGGTAGTTTTGCGAAATTCACCCATTCGTTGCATACGACTATCATTAAGCAACCCGTAGATACGCTTAAAGTATGTGTTCCGTCTATTGTTTATTTAGTACAAAATAATTTATTGTATGTGTCAGCGTCTAATTTGGACGCCGCTACTTATCAGGTAATTTTTTTTATCTATTTCAGACGATAATTTAGTTTTATCTTGATAATAATCACTCAAAAACTCTACTAGTTTTTTTTTACCTATTTAATATTTAATTTTCTGAATTAAAATAATTCCTTTAATTTTCTTGAAATAATTATAGAAACTTATTAAATTTTTTAAAAGATAATTTTTATTAATTTACATTTTTTATTTGAAACTGAAGATGAAAAAAAATTTTTTAAATATTTAATAATAATCATGATACTCAAATTGAGAGACATCATATAATTTTTTTAATAAACTAATTATAGTAAGAATAATTTATCTTAAAAATTCCATACTTAAAAGCTCTAAAATGCATTATAAATGCAATTTTTTAAAAATAATTTTCTAAACCTAGTTTATTTAAAAAAAAAAATCAAAAAATTGTTAATTATCTGCTAATTTTTGTGTCATAAATAATGATATTAATTTAACGGTCATCTAATAATTTTTTAGATTTTTATAATAATCATATTACAATAAAAAAAATTTACCAATAAAATTCTACATGTAAAAATTTTACATTAAAATTTTTTTAATAATAATTAATTTGTTACAAAAATTCCAAGAATTGTTATCATCATAAATAATTAGAATTTAACTACTCGTTAAAAAAAATCGTCTTAATCGCCAAAAAAAAAATTTCAAGAGTAGATTTTTTAAATTTGGTTCTGGAATTTGTTATGAAAATTAATTTTTAAATATTTTTTAGACAATTTTGCGGGTTTGTTTAAAAAAATCTTAAAAAAAAATTTCTAGACTATTTTAAGATGAGCTCTCAGCGACAGAGCTCCGGAACATTAAAATGGAGCGTTTTAAAAAAGTCTTAAAATTGTCGGATAATAATTTTTGAACAATTTCAAATTCAATTTGAAAAGAGCGTTGTATTTAAAAACTCGCAAAATCGTCTAAAAAATGTCTAAAAATTAATTATCATAACAAATTCGAAAACCAAATTTCAAAAGTCTGCTCTTGGAATTTATTTTTTTTTTGTGTCTTAAAAGAGTCTTAAGACAGTCTTAATTTACGTCACGTTTAAGATCTTAAACAAAAGACAATTTTAAGACACTTTTAAGACGATTTTATTATACACAAGTAGGTTAAAAATTTTTTTCTCAGATATTTAAAAATATTGATATGAAATCTAATCTTATAAAAAATTTCCAGGTAACTTATCAACTAAAAATACTGACAACAGCATTTTTCGCTGTAGTAATTCTCCGTCGTTCATTATTAAAAGTACAATGGGGAGCATTAATATTCCTTCTGATTGGAGTAGTCTTAGTGCAATTAGCCCAAGACGGAACGAGCAATGTGCCATCAGGAAGAGAGCAAAATCATCTTCTGGGATTTGCAGCTGCCCTGGGTTCCTGTTTTCTGTCGGGTTTTGCAGGAATATACTTTGAAAAAATTCTTAAGGGTTCGGATATCTCTGTGTGGATGAGAAATGTCCAACTGAGTTTGCTTTCAGTGCCGTTTGGCTTGATGAGTTGCTACGCGACCGACGGTGAGATGATAAACAAGCAGGGATTCTTCTTTGGATACGACTGGTTCATCTGCTACCTGGTATTACTGCAAGCTGGAGGCGGTTTGATTGTCGCGTTGGTGGTCAAACACGCAGACAATATCCTGAAAGGGTTCGCGACTTCCTTGGCCATTATTTTGTCCTGCATCGCGTCTATTTATTTGTTTGACTTCAAAATGACTTTCCAGTTCACCCTGGGTGTAGTTTTTGTAATATGCTCGATTTTTATGTACGGCCACCAGCCCAAAGTAGAGAACAGAAATGTCGACAAGCATACTATACTTGAGAAAATTTAATTTGTTTAATTAATTGGTGATTTATTAAATTTTAAGAGCGTTGATGAAAGTATAATTGTTGTTGTTTGAATAATAAGAGAATTAATTAGCTAAGACGAAAAAAAGAGAATTAATATCAATCGCCGAATTGTAAGTATTTTAATGGATATTTCATTATTTATATTAATATTATGATAATCAAATTTATCTAACAAGATTGAGTATTTTTATACAAATAATTAAAAAGTATTTATACGTTAGATCAAATAATTATTGTTTTAATATTTAATCAAAATATATGATGGCATTTATTTGTATTACTTTAAAATTGTGATGTATTTTAATTAAATAAATTCGTTTGTAATATAAAATATTCTTTTTTATATTTTCTTTTTTTATCCAACTGATCTGAATGTTCAATAATATTAAAATTAATCATTTTAATAATTTTGTAGTTTAATAAAATGAAATTCTTTTGTTAGTAAAAAATGATTGCTTTAATATTTTTTTAATTAATTTATAAATATTCAATTATGTATTGAAATTTTATCATTACTTTTTGTATACTGTCAGAATTTTTTTTTTTTATAAAATAAATATTTTTTTATCATAATAATGACAAAGTAAAAAATTAATGATACGGAAATCAGCAGATATTTGACAATTTTATTGATTGTTATAAAAAATTAATTATGTGAAAAAATTTGCACTTGTAATTTTTTTTTTTAATTATAAAAATTAAATTAGCCGACATCTGAAAATTTTTATAATTTTTTTTATTTAAAAAAACTGTTGCAATAAAATTAAAAGAAAAAATTGCACATGTAGAAAATTTGAAAAATTATACATGCAATTTTTTAAAATTATTTTTTTACTTGCAATTTAATTGTTGAAAAAAAAAAAAGAAAAATTTTTGAACGTCGGCTAACTTTAGTATTATTTTTTAATTTTATGTGGAATTTTCTTATCAAAATTTTTTCATGATGATTTAGTTGTTATAAAAATTCAAAAAATTGTCAGATGTCATTTAATTTCAGTATCATAAAAATTTATCTATAAATTTTTCTTTAAAAAAGGAAAAATTTAATAAAACTTTTTCAAATTCTGTCATCACTACTTTTTTCATTTACGATATATAACTTAGCAGTTACTTGCTTATTTTTTTATTTTATTTAACAAATAAAATTGATCAAAAAAATTATTTTAAAAAAATTGTATTTTTTTTTTTTAGCGCATATTTAATTTTTTTAAGAATTTTTGTAACAAATAAATTATGACAAAAAATAATTATTAAAAAAAATTGGCATTTAGAAATTTAAAAAAATTAAAAATGCAATTTTTTTAAAGAAATTTGTTTGTTAAAAAAAATTAAAAAATTGTCAAGTGACAGCTAAATTTAATGTCATTAAAAAAAATTCTAAAAAATTATCAAGCACCTGCTAAATTAATTTTAATTTTAAATTTTTCCGCGAAGCTATTAGTTTCTTCTACACTCGCTTGGTGTCTCACTTAACTTTCTATTTTTTAATTCCATAGGGGGGATCTCTTCGTCACCATCACTAGTGATCACTGATCAGTTGATTCTGGATGATATTTTAACTTGTATCACCTAGCAAAAATAAATAAAAAAAATGAGTGGATCTCCGGCCGGCAAAAAGCAAAAAATGGTGAGCTCTCTCGAGCAATTAAAAACTTTTACCACCGTTGTAGCTGATACTGGAGATTTTCAAGGTAACAATTATTTTATTCACCCAAGTATGACATGATATGATAATTTTTATAATAATTTTCAATATACATATTTGTTATAACATCAGGTCATAGGGGAAGGTAAACGCTGAGGAGTGGGAATGACCTTCAGAAATCACTTATTTATTTTATTTCGTTGCAATTCTCACCACAAAAATAATTATCAGCTGTTTTTATTCTCATTTTATTATTTAATCTCTTTATCTAGTCGTTGAAAAATAAAAATGTATTTTTACAACTCCAAAAATGTCTTGAGATTGAATAAAATTAGCCAAAGGTTAGAGCACGTGATACCGGCAAATTGGAATTTACCCGCGAATTAAACTTAAAAATTTATTTGAATTTATTTTTTTTCCAGCAATGGAGCAGTTCAAGCCAACTGATGCGACTACTAACCCATCATTAATCCTGGCTGCGGCCAACCAGAAGAAGTACGCTCATTTGTTGGACAAAGCTGTGCAATATGGAAAGAAAAGTGGGAGGTAATTTTACAGAATCTAAATTTCAAAGTAGGGAAATTTAAAAATTACTTAAGGGGCTATGAAAGAAGATTTGATAACATTTTTATGAGATAATTTTTGGTGCATTGTTTTGAGCTAAATTTTGGACAGATTTTAATAAAATTTAAACCATATATAAAAAATAGGATGAGCTTATATCTTTAAAAATGTCAATAGTTCACGAGATACAAGGTCATTTCTTAATTATGTGTCTAGAAATAAAACATTTTCGAATGCAGCCTAAATACTTATCATTATAAATTGACTATCAAAGCCACAAAATTGTAAAACGCCGGTAGTTAATTAGATAATTGTTTTTTTAATTAAAAAAAAAAAGTAAAAACAATAATTTGTCAAAAATAAAAAATGCACTTGTAGAGAATTGAAAAATCTTCTAGTGCATTTTTTTAAAGTTAATATTTTATAATTATTAATTATTTTATTTTAATTATAAACAATAAATCTAGGTTTACTAGATGCACAGTCATTCAAAGTCATACCTGATTCAAACAGAGCTTTGAAGACATTGAAATGCAAAGGAAAGTTTATTAAAAAAAAGATTATATCTAATTATTTCTTGAGTTTGTCAATTTACAATTTCTGAAATTTATAATCATAATTATGATATTAATATCTTTCAAAAAGTGTAAATTTCAATAAAGTAAAATAAATTATGGACCTGTTCTAAAATTTCATGAGTTTTATTATATTTCCATAATTATAATTTTATGAAGTCTTTTCAACATCAAATATATCCGCTATAAAAACTATCAGCCGTTCGCAACCTTTACTATTACAAGTTATGCTATAATCTTACATCTTACTGGAAATGCCATCTACCGCCTGTCAACAGAAAGTAAATTGATAGAAATTCTAACCTAATATCCACTTGTTTATTGATAATTACATTCGGTGCATTATTATTAATAATTGTGATTATAAATAATCGGTTTTATAAATTTTTTATAACTTAGTAGTGACGAAGAATGCAGGGAACTCTTTTTTATAATCATTGTTTCCATAAAATAAACAAAAATTCATTATTTCGACGTAGATTTCTGTAGGCTGTATAAAGTTGCGATTTTTCTTTTGAATTAATTTTTTTTTTTTGTAAAAATTTCATAAATAAATTAGTTCCCTGCTTTTATTATTCTATTTTTTATATGTGATTTAAATTTTATTAAAATCTGTCCAAAATTTAGCTCAAAACAATGCACCAAAAATTATCTCATAAAAATGTTATCAAATCTTCTTTCATGGCCCCTTAAGTACTAATTTTTTATTAATAATTCTTCAGCACTTTGGAAGAACAAACAGAAGCAGCTATTGACATGACCTGTGTTTTGTTCGGCCAAGAGATTCTGAACATCATTCCCGGTCGTGTGTCTACAGAAGTCGACGCCAGATTGTCTTTCGACAAAGAAGCTAGCATTGAGAAGGCTAAGAAGCTTATTACGCTGTATGAAGAAGCTGGTATTAGCAAAGAGCGCATTTTAATCAAGCTTGCTTCTACTTGGGAGGGAATTCAGGCTGCTAAGTATGTTTTTTTATTTAAATTTTTATTAAATTAATTGGATTTAGTTATTGAGAAATTTTGTTTCAGGGAATTAGAAGAAAAGTATGGAATTCACTGCAATTTAACTTTGTTGTTTAACTTTGCTCAAGCAGTTGCTTGCGCTGAAGCTGGTGTCACTTTAATTTCACCGTTTGTTGGGAGAATTCTTGATTGGTAAGAAGAATATTTTTTTTTTTTATTTCAGAGTTTTGTTTTTGGCTATTTTTTCTTAAATTTTTCTTTAATTTAATATTTACTTTCTTAAATAAATTTATTTGTTAATATTTCTTCTTTAATTTTTTTTTTTTAATAAATGTTTCTTTTCATAAAAAAAAAAATTACTTGAGTTATTAATTAATAAGAAGGATATACATTTTTTATTTTTTTATTTAGAAGTTTTGTTTTTGCCTATTTCTTTTTAAAGTTTTCTTTAATTAAATATTTATTTCCTTAAAAAAATTTGTTTGTTGATATTTCTTCTTTAATTCGTTTTTTTTTTTTTTATTAAATATTTCTTTTCATAATTTAAATTTACTGGAATTATTGATTAATAAGAAGGATATATATTATTTATTATATTTGTTACAATGTATGGCATGATGACTGCCCTTTACATTTTTTCTTATATACTATTGGATAGTTAAACTGCTTATTTGGCTAACAATTTAATTAATTTTAAAACTGCACTTTTTAATTTTAACTTTTAATGAGAAATAAAATTTATCTGCAACTATAACAATGTTAATAAACTCTCTTATGGAGTAATGAAATCACTGCACTTCGTGCAACGATCGCCTGCTGACTATTGCAAACGGACTAGCTCATCTTCCATCGCTGTGCCCCCTGCCTTGACTAGATTCTCGAATCTTTGGATATATTCACAAATTTCTTTTATTGGATCACCTCGTAGAGTCTGCATTAGAAGCCAGTCGAAGTCTGCCTCTACTCTGCCGCCACACCACCTCTCTATAAAATCTACTATCTTCTCGTTCGCTGCAGCTTTTAGGCTTCTGCACCTGAAGATATGCTCCAGGGTTTCATCTTCGTTCTGGCACAATCTACACTGCCAGTCTTTGAAGCCTTTTTTACCTGCTCTCACTATATTGCCACACCTGATTCTGCACCACACCTCCTTTATCCAGCCTGGTATTCTACTGTCTACCCAGTATGGCTCGGTACCCATGGTAGTTTTTATAAACTTGTACCTGCGATTAAAAGTCGACTCCATGATTTTTTTGTCATCTTCCAGTTTCGTTTCACTCGTCAGGGAGTTTAAGCCTGCCATCAGTCTCTGCTCAATCGTCGCTGCCTCCTTCTTGTCCCATATCATTTGTATGACATCGCTGCACTTCATTTCATCTAATGCCTTGACAAATCCTGCCCCCCATTTTGACGGCTTGCCATTCAGGATGCCTCTGCAGGTCTCTCTCAGACAAACTTTCGGCCACCTTCTATCTTCCATACCCAGTATGTCCATGATGTATTTGCTCGCTCTTCTTCGGCACGAAACTTTCCAGCTTTCAGCGCCACTTTCAGTCCTCCAGATATACTCTGGCGTATTCTTCGCCAAGCCTAAGGCCGCCTTGCAATAACGTCCATATACTGCCTCCATTTCCTTGTTGTCCTCCCATCCCCAAAGCTCCACTCCAAACATTACACCCGCTCTGACTAGAGAGTTATATAGGTACATCCTATCTCTGAATGTACTTCTAGCTGATCTTTGAATCAGGCCCCAGGTCGCATTTATTGCCACCCTGGCCTTCCCTGCCATTTCTCTCATGTGTTTTTTCCAGCTATTTCTATTGGAGATCCAGCAACCTAGGTACTTAAATTCTTTAACTTCCTCCAAGGGCTCGCCTCCATACCACCATCCTCTTTCGCTTCTTGACCGGCTGCTTTTGCTGCCTACTACCAACACTTTTGTTTTTTTTGTATTAACCTTCAACCTGTTTTTCGTGGCGTATTTCTCTAGGATGCAGAGCATTTCTTTCATACTATTTTCATCTGGAGCTAACATAGCTATATCGTCTGCATATTTGCCTAGAAATACTTTAATACTGCCCATCGCTATTCCTCCTGCATTCCGTCTAATAAATTCTGCATCAATGTCATCTAAAAAGATGTTGAAGAGCAGGGGACTCAGAGGGCATCCCTGTCGCACACCTTGAGATGCCTCGAAACTCCCTTTACTCTCGCCACCTACAGTAATTTCATTCTCCGTCCTTTTGTACACTGCCATGATGAATCTCAACATCCTGCCCTTGATTTCTGCTTCCAAGGCTTTTTGAAAGAGAAGTTTTCTATCTACGCTGTCGAATGCTGTCTGGAAGTCAACGAAGCAGATAAATGCCTTGTTGCCTTTTTTTTCTCTCATCCAGTTGTTAATGACGGCATTTACTACAAAGACCTGGTCTCTTACTCCTCTCTTCCTTCTAAATCCTGCCTGGCTCTCGTTTAAAACACCTTTTTTCTCGCTCCAGTCTTCTAGCCTCGCCGTGACGATGTTTGATAGGATTTTATATCCCGCATTAAGCAGCGAGATTGGTCTGTAATTTTTGGGGTCTCCTATGTCTCCTGCCTTGTAGATGGGCGCTATGTGTGCTGTTTCCCATCCTTTTGGTAACCTGCCATCACACCAAATCTCATTAAGAGCTTCGAGTAGTCCCCACTTACCCTCATCTGGGAGCTCTTTGTAAAATTCCGCCACCAAGCCGTCTTCTCCTGGAGCTTTTTTGTTTTTCATTCTTCTGAGGGACAAATTTAGTTCGTCAAACTTTATTCTTGCTTCCATTATGTCCTCTGTGTCTTCCCTCTCTACCTCTGTCCGGTCCATGCCGGCAATGTCTTTAACACAGCTTGTCTCTCGGCTTCCATCTTCTGTTGCTGCCTCCGCTTCTACTCCTCCTACGCTCAGGCACGGATCTGGGACTTCAATATCAACACCACCCATGGTACCTCTAAAATGTGCAGTCCACTGGGAATCGGATATTTCCCTGCACGCTGCTCTGCTTAAGAAGGATATATATTTTTTATTTTTTTATTTAGAAGTTTTGTTTGTTTCTATTTCTTCTTTAATTTTTCTTCAATTTAAGATTTTTTTTTCATGAAAAAAAAAATTTACTCGAATTCTTTATTGGTAAGAAGAATATTTTTTTTTTTATTTAGACGTTTTTTTTGTTACTATTTCTTCTGTAATTTTTTTTTCATAAAAAAAATTTACTTATAATTATAATTGTTTTTAAATATGTGTAAAAAGTAATTTTTCTCTTAAATAATTGTTAATATCTTTGCGTAGGTACGTAGCCAACACAGACAAAAAATCATTCGAAGCAAAAGAAGATCCAGGAGTAGTCTCCGTCACTAAAATCTACAACTACTACAAAAAATTCGGCTACAAGACAGTAGTGATGGGCGCTTCATTCCGTAATGTCGGTGAAATCAAAGAACTTGCGGGTTGTGATCTTCTTACAATCAGCCCAAAGCTACTTGAAGATTTGGAGAAAAGTCACGAGCCGGTACGCAAGATGCTGGCTCCCGAGGTTGCCAAGAAAGCCGATCTCAAAAAAATTTCTCTCAGCGAAGCTCAATTCCGCTGGATGTTGAACGAGGACCAAATGGCCACTGACAAACTCAGCGATGGAATCCGCAAGTTTGCCGTTGACATGCGGAAACTTGAGCAACTTTTACAGGAAAAAATTCAAGCTTAACTCGCATTTTGTACGTGTACTTCATTTTTGATAATTAATTTTGTCGAAATAATTTTATAGAATTTTTAAATTGGGAATTGTACAAATTATATAAATATATTTTATTGATGTTTTAATAAAATATGGGTTATTAAAATTTTTTGTTAATTATTTTCAACATTTTAGTTTTCATTTTTAATTAAATATCGAAATATTGACCGAGCTATGATGAAGAAGTAGATTATAATTAATATTGAGAATTATTGAAATTAATTTAGTCGTTTCTTACACATGATTTGTTTTCGCTTAAGGTAGTTGTCGTGGTTAAGGCATACCGTTAAAAAATTCTAAATTTTTGTATACTTATTGAAGACATGATGATACAACTACCCTTAAAATTTGAAGTCGATTGACCACCTATAATCCGAGATGAATTCAATTAAAAATTAGATATTTAACATTGATTGCATACGCTCTCTGCAGTCCTGTACCAGTTTCTTAGTTTCTAAAAAAAACTAACTGTCAGAAACTTTCAAAAAAATGACAGTCTTTTAATGTATTTGTTATGAGTTTAAAAAACAATTTTTGACCGTCTAATTATTTATAAATAATGGATTAAAGTTCAACTATTTATGAAAAAGTATATATCTACGGAGTCAGACAGAAATAATTGTATGAATTGCGTGTCCACGGGTAGTCTTGCGTAAAAATGATGGATACATAGCTACAAGCTCATATACTTTTGTAGCCTGGATAATCTCTAATTTTTTGACAATATTGTACCATGACAACTACCTTAATGATGGAGTCAAAAAATTGTAGAGAAAAACAGTTCAACATTTTTAAATTTAAAACATTTTTGATTAAAAAAAAATTAATCTTAATGGCAATCAAAAATTTGTGTTTGGGGAAAAATTTAACTATTTTATTAATTGGATACTTTCTAATTAACAATATTAACTATTTCCATAATCAAAATTCCTAAAAAAAAATTCCTTTCCTAAGTAATGAATAATAAAAAAAAACTAATTGTTTAACCCGTAGTGGTCATTATAGGTCTAGATGACCCGAAGCAATTTTTGAGTTGCTTCGAAGATATCATTCAAAATGGTATCTGTGGTATCATCTATTATTGTTTGAAGATTTTTTGAAATTTATGGAAATTTACGATTTCAATTGCACAAATCAATATACTTTTTGAAAAGCTCGACATGGCACCACTTTTTTTTCAAAGTATGCGATATCCGGAGTTATTTTCATTTATCTTAAAAAATGAAGTTTTTATTAAAAAAAGTCTAATTTTTCAAAATTTGACTTTCCTGCATTTTTTGTTTTTAATTAAACAATTAAAAAAAAATCAAAAAACGATTGAGTTATTCAACGTAAGTGTAAAGAATTACTCTCATGTACGGTTCGAGTGACAATATTGAAATGAACGCAAGTAGCAACAATTTTTTCCGTGCATGGGATCAACTAGACCCAGTATGACCACTAGGATATTTTTAAGAAGTGTGACCACTACGGGTTAATTTAAAAAAAATTTTAAATTTTTTGATAGTCATTACATAAATCAAAAAACTAGAAAATAAGATTTTTTTGCCGATTCCTGTATTGAATTATTATCGTTTAGTTATTAAAACTTTAAAAATCGGCGGTGCAAGAGCAAATCCATCCATTCCAGTCATCGAAGGTCGAGATTGTCCCGGAGCTAGTGCAAATTTGAATTTCTGAAGTAAGTATGCGATGAAAAGAAAATGACTGTTCTTAGCCAAAGTTTCTCCGATACATTTTCTTCTTCCTACCAAACAAAGATAAAAATCACCAAAATGAATAAATAATAAAAAATTAATTACCAGTGAATGAATGAAATGAATTAAAAACCTGATCCAAAAGGTATGACCCATGCATCAGGAATAAATTGCCCACTAGCATCAATAAATCTTTCTGGCCGAAATACTTCCGGATCGCCCCAATGATCAACGTCCTGGTGAACACTCATCAAGTTCGCGAGAATCGTATAATTTTTTTTAATAACATACCCATTTAATAGTGTGTCTTTCGTCGCTCGGTGAGGAATCGTCGTCGGGCCAATATTAGCAAGTCTCAAAACTTCTGCAAGTGTCGCATTTAAATATGGCAACCTGAAATTTAACAAAATAGCTATATTTTATTTTCTCTTACAAATATTATTTAAACTTTATCTTTCAATGAGTTATAAAATAACGACAGCTGATAATTGTGCTTTTATGGCATTTATTTATGACGCACAATTTTTTATGACAAGCATCGCAATTCGAAAGTATATTAATAAATATTTTTACGACTTAATTGAGTCATTATTTTACTATACAAAACAGTAATCAATTTTTGTCATTAAATTTTCAATGAATAGTTAAAAAATTAATAGTGAAAATATTTTTAAAATAAAAACTTACGAATTTCGGGAGCTCAATGAAGGTAAATTATCTTTACCGATTACTCTATCGAGTTCTTTTTGTACTTTATCTTGAACTTCTGGAACTAATGTCAAGTACCCGATAGTAAAGCCAATGCTGTTATTAGTAGTATCGACTCCAGCGGCAAAAAAATCTTTCAGTAAGGCGATCAGCTGCATTTCTACAAGTAATTCACTTGTTAAATTTTTTGCGTTAATTAAAAGTAACGATTGACGATTAATGATCCAAAACAATTACCGTTGAAAGTTGAATCTGGATTCTTTCTGCGTGTTTCTATTTCTTCTAGATACGCGTCTATTAAATCCCGATTAATGCCTTCCTTCCTCGTTTTTTTATGCGACTTAACTTCTTCCTGAAAATAAGAACAATTTTTTCTGCAATTTATCAAAAATCTATACTAATAGATGGAGAGCCGGTTTTTTTGTCCGGTTATACTGCGAAATAATGAATTTTTATTGTAACTAAGTTTATTCTATTCGATTGTTATTTGTTTAAAATAAATTTTTTAATTCTATTGGCTATGTTTATATACTAGGCATATTTCTTCACTTATATAAGACCTGCAATTTCTTTAACTGAAACTTTCAATGCTCATTACAAATTTTTCTTTTTTCAAATCAATTATTATTTATTTTTGTGAGAAAGATATTGGAATGTTATAATGGCTGCACATTAAAAGTTACAATGAATATTAGCTAGAATAATTATATAGATAAAAGGTGCATGCCAATTTGATAGAATTGAGAATCCGAGCAAGCGCAGTAAAAAATTTTACGTCATTGCGTCAAAAAATTTTGTGTTAAAAATTTTTGTGTTAAATATTTAACACTTTTTGTGTAAATTTAACATTTATTGTGTTAAATTAACACAGAAAAATGTTAAATTAACACAAAAAAGTGTTGAATATTTAATATAAAAATTTATGATACTATTCAAGTTAGCCAAAGTTTTTAATTTTTTGATTTTTTTTACTAATTAAATTAGAATAAAAAATATTTTTTAAAAATTGCACTTACAGTTTTTTATGTTTTTAACAAATGACATTTTTGTGTTAAATATTTAACACTTTTTGTGTAAATTTAACATTTATTGTGTTAAATTAACACAGAAAAATGTTAAATTAACACAAAAAAGTGTTGAATATTTAATATAAAAATTTATGATACTATTCAAGTTAGCCAAAGTTTTTAATTTTTTGATTTTTTTTTACTAATTAAATTAGAATAAAAAATATTTTTTAAAAATTGCACTTACAGTTTTTTATGTTTTTAACAAATGACATTTTTTTTTCTTTTTTTTTGTAGTCATTTTTTCTATAAGAAAATTTTTTTTAATTTTTAAATGTCGGCTAACTTAATTTTCATTAAAAATTTTTAACACAAAATTTTTTGACGCAATGACACAAAATTTTTTACTGTAAGTCAAAACAATACTCTAATTAAATTTCAAGTTTAGATCTAAAAATGTAATTCTATAAAGCGCCCATCGCAGCGGGTGAGTAATAGCTAGTCCATTAATATAATAAATAAATTATTGTTATTAATAATTAAAAATAATCTTACAGCAAAAAACGCCCACATTCGTAACAATCGATCATGAATAGCTTCATAACCCGACAATTTTGGAGCCAGAAGTCTTAAAAACGGCAAATAGTTCAATAGTCCTCCCGAAACATTCGACTCTTTTACAGAATCATTCAGCATCCTCAGAGTTTCTAGTAATTTTGGCTCACACTTCCCAATATCATACCTTTAATTTATAAAAACAAACAAATGAAGAAATATTTGTCTTTTTTTTAGAACATAAAAATACATATAAATTTAAAATATACCTTGAACCACCAAACAATGACCAAAGACTATTAAGAACAGCCAGCGCAGTAAGTTCTTTTAAATTTTGAACAATTCCTCCGTGTTCTTGAGATACTTTTTCTATTATCTTTCCTAAATTTTCAGCATCTTCAAGAATAAGTTCTTCCATAGTTTGCCCTGCCCATCCAAAACTTTTCAAATTGATCAACGAAAACCTTCAACAATAAAAAAAATAATAGAACTAAATTTAGCAGACATCTGTCATTGTTTGGATTTTTACAACAATTACTATAAAAAAAACATTTTTTAAAAAAGTATATCAGTAACTTTTTGAAACTTTTACAAGTTGACGTTTTTAGAAAGAAATAGTTTATTATCATTTATTTATATGAATAAATAAATACATTCATTTATGTAATTTGTTGAATAATATCCTAGAAATCATTAAATGTCACTTAATTTAAGTATCATTAAAAAGTACGTACTTTGTAATACGCAATCTATTAGAAACTAAGAATACTCAACAAGGATTCTAACTGTAAATTCGTGGAGTTAAATATGTTTAGTATCAATTAATTCTAGCAGATGGCGTGTGGTTAGAAAATTCTTTCCTACCTAGAAAGTTGAATTAAATATATCATACTCACACATAACCATTGGCTGTACGGGAAAATTTTTCTAGTGGATTTTTGTTAACTTTTTACCACGAAAATAAAATAGAAACTCTATGTAAGAAGAAAACATGATATATAAAGAATATAAATAATTTGTTAAGTCGTAAGACAGGTAAAATTTTATGAAAATGTAAAAATTAAAAAAATATGTAACCTTGTTATGTAACAAACCTAATGATAAATAAAGATATTTTTGAAAAAAAGGCTGTACGGGACAATCTAGAGGCCAGCTGGGCAAACAACCCAGCAAGAGAGAAAAAAATCAAAAATTGGTATTTTCGTGATGAAAATATTATGTTAAAAAAAATTTTTACAAAACACGCATTAATTCTTTTTTATAGTTAAATTTTAAATTTTCTCCAATTCTGATCAGTAAATTTTTTTTTTTGAAAAGAAATATCTTCTTTTCTTTTCCTGTAAACTGAATAAATCTCATCAACTCTTAATAACTTTTTAGGAAAGTTTCAAATTGCAGGGAAAATTTGACTTTTCAAGAGTTTTTTCAAAGAATTATTTCAGCAAAGATCACTACAAGAAGTTTTAATAACTCTTCGAGCAGAGTCCCAAATCTTGCAAAAAATCCGACTTTCTAAATCGAATGAAGAGTTTTTCCGACGTAATAAGACTTTTTCGGACTTTTTAAGAAAATAAAAAACTTTATGAACTATTATTCGTACTTATTAAAATTTTTTCTCAGTTTTTTCAAAGAAATTTTTCCACAAGGTACTGCAGTTTTATCTAAAAATATTTAAAAACATAATGATATTGAAGTTAGCTGACAGCTGTATATTTTTTGAATTTTTATAACAAATCAATCATAATAATAAGTAAAATATATGCTTTTAAAAATTTCCACTATTAATTTTTTTTTTATTTTCACATGCGGAATTTTTTTCATAATAATTTTGTCGCTTTAAAATTAAAAAAAAATTTTTAATGTCTATTAACTTCAGCGTTATGAAGTTAGCTGACAATTGATAATTTTTTTACTTCTCATACTAAATCAATTACAATAATAAAAATGTTTTAAAAAAATTTCTATCATCAATTTTTTTGTTTTATTTTTACTTGTTTAATTTTTTTCGTAGTAATTTAATTGCTAAAAAATTATAAAAAAATTTCTAATATCTCTGTTATCTACAATATATAAAAACATAACCTACCTTCTCTGGTCAGCCCAAACTTTGCCGTCAGTAAACAAAATCCCGCGTTTTTCTCCCATAGTTCGGTGAGTAAAAATAAACCCATTAGGCCGTCCATCAAATTCCGACCTTCCTAGCATTTCCATGACAGCTTCGCGGCCAGAAACGATAATCATCGGATCAGCTAGACCTAGTCTCAGGCCGACGACAGCGCCGTATTCTTTGGCCAACTCGCACCATGCTTTACCATGAGAACCTGTTCTTCTGACTAGCAGCTTCAAGTCGTAGATGTTGTTTAGAAACGGCAATCCTGGGGGTCCTGAAAGTATCTAACAACAATATTATTCCAAGGTTTTAAAAAGTAAATCTTAACTAATAATAAAATAATTTTACCTGGAGGAAATAATGAAGGGCGCGACCAGTCCACCAAAATTTTCGAAGTTATTATCACTGTGATGATTACTATTGTTAAGAGTATTAACCACATGATATATTTATATTAATTTTTCAGGATGATTTATCTTAGCGTGTAGAATCTAAACTGAAGCGTGTCGTGTAAAAACTAATTTATGCGATATGCGAAGACGAGAGATTTGCGGGAAGAAAAAGACAACCTTTCACTTAGGCTGCAGATTGCGATTTAATCACAGCTGTACTTGTGGTTGTCTTGCTGTTTAGAAGAAAAAAAGGAATGAGTACTTGCTTTGAAATAATTTGACGCAATAACTTTTATTTCATTTGCCATCATGTGAAAGTTAGGTAATACTTAAGAATTTTTATTGATTTTTTCTTCTGATGAAGGTAAAATTTTTTGAAGAATTTTACTTTCAACTTCAAAAATTAAGATTTTATTTTTTTAATTTTCTAAATAAATTTTCGTTGAAATTATTTTGTAAAAAAAATTTCTTTAAAATTATAATTACATTCACATTCTTAGACTTTAGACTAGGTTACATTTATTTACTTGAATTTCCAACTTTAAATGGCCTAAAAAATAGAAATATTTGTCAAAATCTTATTCGTTCAATAAATATCTATAGGAAATGTGTCTAAAAAGGTTGAATAAAAATTTGAAACCGATCGGTCAAGCTTTTTTGGAGAAATTATAGGGGAAAGGGGGGGGGGGTGGGCCCCCCTAAAATTTAGGACTAAAAATTTTGGGGGCAAAGTGGGCCCACTGAAATTTTTTTTGAAAAAGGTGAATAATAAATCATTCATACTTTTGATAATGATTAAATGTGGTTTTTGTCAAAAAAATTGTCATTGATTCTAAAAAGTAAGAAAAAGAAATGAAAAAAAACGGTTCGTCAAATTTTACCACTTTTTTTTTCGTTAGGGGTAATGAGGAACAAAGACTAAAAGAAAAGAAATAAGTCAATAGGAAGATCAATTTCTAAAAAAGTGATGGCTATATGAGAATAAAAAAGCTGATTATTTTTAAATTCATTCTTTCTTGTGTTGGGTAAAAAAATTTAAAAAAAATCCTAAAAACATTTTTTGGTAGTATAGGAAAAGACAAAAATTTTTCAGCCAAATCATAAAGGGTCGAGTTTAAAAGTGATCAATTTGAAAAATAAAATACCCCATATTTTCTGTAATTCTCCTAATTTTTTAAAAGAAGTAATTTGTTAAAGACGTAATGATATATAATGAAAAAACAACAGTTTTGTTTGGAAGTGATCGTAGATAAAAATTTAAAACTACGAATATTTAAGATGTTAATATCTTCTGAAATATTGATGTTAGCAATTTAGTGCTCAGGATCTTTTTTGTATAAAATCAAATTTACTACAAGTTAGTCACTCAAATATTTTTTATAGCTCTTCTCAGTGACGAGAAAAGGACAGAAAAACGTAAATTTTATGAAAAAATTGGATTTGGTGGTCCATAATCCCTCACCGGAGTGAGTTACGATTACGTCACGATGAGCAGTTTTGTGGAGTATTCAATTCTAAGTAAAATAACCCATCTTCGATTGAAATAATGCTATGAAATACTGCTGAGCTGTGAAAATTTAAGGAAACAGTTCGAGTTTTACGAGTATATTTAATGGGAAATCTTTTCACACCTTGATCAAGCTCTTCACAGTAATATTTAAGGGCTCAAATTTTCAGAGAATTTTTTCTAGGATATTGCGAACAAATTTTCGTGATGGGATCATGAAAAAATTAGTCGAAAAAGGCACCTTATTGCTCATGCGCGAAAGTTTTATTCATCTGAAAAAAAATAACAACTCAAAGCTTTCAAAATATGTGCGAAAAAAATTTTTATGACCAGATTTTTGGAGGGGGCCCACTTTGCCCCACATTTTAGATTTTTGAAGTTATACTTCTTTTGGCGCGTTAGGCAAAAATGATGAGGGTAAATTTTTACGATGCGCGCGCACACCGTCACGAAAAACCGACATGATGAAGTTAGCTATAAGTCAACATTTTAGTTTTTCTAAAAAAGGTACCAACAAAGTAAAAAGGACATCTACGTATGTTTGCGTGAGAACTGACAACTGTATTCACAATATTTATTTATTTAAGTGTTTCTGAACCTACCACACGAGTTTTGTATCAGTCCGAATAAAATCCTATATACTAAAATTGATGGTAGAATGAAGTTAGCTTAGTATCGAAAACATGGACCCTGAATCCTTATTGGTTAAGATTAAAGCGCGCGCGTAGCACGCTATTCAAATTTCTAGTATATAAAAATATACATTAATATATATTTTCTCAAAAAACATTATAATATATTATAATAGTTTTTACATATTCCTTTGAATACGTTTATAGAATTTGGGGTTAGTTGACGGTATATATTATTTATGTACATCAAAACTGAAATAAATTTTCACATTCTTATTTAATGTCTGATAAGTTTATAATTAAATTAATAAATTAATAATAGATACAAATAATAATAATATTTAATTCCGAAAAAATTAAATTATTATAAATATTAAATTTAATTAAATGTTTCTTTCTTAAAGTAATCTTAAAATTTTTAATAATAAAATTTATCGTCAGATTGTCCCATACACAGTACAACATGACGATAGTATCAAAATAAATTTTAATAAATATTTGGAACACACTAATAAACTTAATAGAATAATCAAATCAATCACAGTGAGAAATAATTAAAAAAAAAAAAAAAACAATTTAAAATAAATTTTTAGAAAGATAAAATTTTTAAAAAGATTTTTATCTTGTTACACCAAAGAAGTATAACTTCTAACGCGTGTACATAAGTACACACACACTTTTTTTCTTAAGGGGCCCACTTTGCCCCCCCCCCCTTCCCTTACTTACTGGTTTAAAACCGACCTTTTTGGGAAAAACGCGTTTTTTTTTTCTACGCTTTATCTACAAATATGGATTTATCTTCAAGAATATTTGTCGGATCAATTTGAAATTTTTAGAGAATATACTCAAATATATATATACACTCTAAAAATGCAAAAAAATCAATTTTTTGCAAATTACAACTACACAGTAAAAAACTTTACGTCAAAAAAATTTCATGCTAAATATATAACAATTTTTTTATGTTAATTTAAGTAATATGGAAAAGTGTTTAATTTACACTGAAAAGTGTTAAATATTCAACTCAAAAATATACCAATAGGTATAACCTCTTGATTAAATGAATAGTTCTATAGAGAAGAAAAAATTTTGTGAAGAAAGTTTTGATCCATATTTTGAGAAGAATATTGAAGATATGGAAAAATTGTAAAGGATTTTATCGAAGAAAATATAATTCAAATGAAAATTGATCCTATCAATTTAGTTGTAAATTTATCATCATAATTTGGAACGGTAATAAACTATTTTCAGAATTAAAACTTTATAGAGCCTTGTTTAAACAGCAATAAAAGTTAAAAAAGATGTAGTTAATATCTTATCAAATTTTCCCGTGACTCTAACATAACTATAACTAAAAAAAAAAAATAAACCATCAAACATAAACCGTAATAAATAAAATAATAGTAACACGGCATAAAATAATTTTAATAACCAATCTCGTGATGAATTTTATTAAAATATTAACAAATTGCCTGTGGTGCAATGTATGTATATATACATACAAGGCTAACAATCCACGGGATATAAAATACAAATAATCATTTTTTCCGCATCAAGGCTAATCTATAATGGGTTTATTAATGTCGGCATTAAACGCCGTTGGAACAACACCAGCAATTTTGGTTATCGTTGTTCCACAGTCGGCGCTGAAAACTCACTGAAATGATAAAGAGGTCGCGAGCTCGAGGAATCGCAGTTATTCCTTCAGGCTCAACGGTCCTCCGCCTGTTTGGACGCGGATACAAAATATTTATCGTAATATCAATATTAACAACTTCATTAGTTACTGTGGGTTTATATTTTTCTTCAAATTCATCAAAATTATTCCATTATTTTTACCAATTTATAAATTTTTATTTTTTTCAGATAAAGTTCCAAATAATTGTTTCAAAATTCCCTTGGACTAAAATGTCATTATAATTTTTCTATCGTAAGTTTTTTTAATTAAAAAAATTACTTTATTATTACTGTCAATAATTGATGATTAAAAAATTTCCAGAAATAAATTCATGAGAAAATCTTCAAGAAATTAGATAAATAATTGAGAAGAGACAGCTACGCAATGTCACCTAAATATTTATATTTAATTATTGCGGTGAGTTTCATTATAATTTTCATTTTTTTTTCTAAATAAATTAAATTATAACAATAAAATAACTCAAGTTCAAACTATTTAAATTAAAAGTAACAATCTATGTTATACTTAATTGATTTTTTTATTATTAAAAAGAAAATTGATAAGGTTATTTTACCGTTATTATATCGCACACAATAAAATTTTTAAAGTCATTATTCTCTCAACAACATACAGTAAATACCTCGCTCTAGTCTGTTTTTATTATTATTTCTTACTGGCTTATCATCGTGAAATTAATTCGATTTGCCCAGGCTTGTGATCGTTAACTCGACAATCACAAGAATTTTGTTTTTAATACTAACTTAAAACGCTTTACAATTATTTTCAATTATATTATTTATTTTAGACTATTGGCTGCATTAGCGCCGTTCCATACGACCAACGTTTCGCTTATTGGCAGGTAAATATTTACAATAGTTCTTCTTTAATACAATCGTTCCTATTTCTAAGCTAACAATTCATAATTCTTTATTTTTTTAGCGTCGCACTGATCCTGATGATATTTCTGGAGTGATTCCTATAGATTTTTCAGATAGTTTTAATAACGCGGCCGCAAATGTTGATACTCCACCGAAACATTTGACTGATGAGGATTTCTTCACGGAAAACCCAGTTGATGCAAATCGAAGACGACATTTTCAGAATTTGAACGTTAAAAATAGAGCAAATCACCATATAACTGTTGAAAATAATCTTCCAAGTCTCTACAATGAAGGAGTAAACTTAGACAATGAAGAATATTATAAAAATGTTGATAATCGGCACTTGCCAAAATTTCCTGATTCAAGTGTAAACAATGAAGCAGATAATATAATAGCAAGTCATAAAATTGTTAACAACCATATGCCTAATTTTGAAGGACCAAATTTAGAGAATAAAGCAGGGCATGAAAATATTGATATTCAGTCTCCAAGCTTACTGGAGAAACGATTAGACATCGAAAATAGAGGTGTTGGTACAGAAAAGTCTGAAAATAATGAAAATAAAGCAAACGATCAATTGCTAAGTTTGCATGGGCTGAGTTCAGAAGGTAAGAGTGATTATCAACACATCGGTGACGCTATTTTAAAGCCTTATCAAGCTTCGGAGCCTAAAACTTCATCTGATCTAGTGAAAAACACACTTTTGAAAACAGAAGAGAAAGATGATGCAATTCCTAAAAGCATTGTTCAGGAGAACGAATCTAGTGACAATAAAGATATTAATCTAGCTTCAGAACATCAATCTTCAAGAATTCAGGAAAATTTAACGCCTTCGAAATTAAATTTTGAAAACTTTTTCCAACCTGACCATCAGAATGACTTAAATTCACCCGAAAAAAGCCGTTTGGATCATAAAACGAATGAAGAAGAAGAAAAAACAGCAACTTGCCCAAATGTAAAAAACAAAAATCACATTACCAAGATTTTTGCCAAAAACATTTCGTCGCTTCCTTTCGAAGATGATTTGAAAGGCAGGTTTGATCCGGATTCGAGTAAATCAACCAAAGTTTATGTAGGCGAAGACGTGACTGTTTGTTGGACGGAGATAACGACAATAAAAGAAAACAGCTTATTAGCATCACCAAATCGGCAGGTAATTCGCGAATACGCGATTTCGTTTGAGAACTCAGCGATTATTCCTGATGAATACATAGAGTGCTCTAAAATGGAAGGAGAAATTTTTGATGACAGCCGTATCTGCGACTCTAAATTCCCCTCGACTATCGATCAAGATACCAGAAAAAGCAAATTAATAAACACGACCACTAGAAGCCGTGAAGGGGATCTCGATGTTACGCAGATTAAGGTGATTAAATGTGGTGTAGGCTCGCTCGTGACTAGAGAAGTCTTCGAAATGGGAAAGAATGAAAGCAAGAGGATTGAAATTAAAGTCAGTCCTCTGACTAAGAAACCTGAAGATTGTGAGGAAAGCAAAGAAACGCCGAAATTACTTTTGAAGGAGTGTTCTGAAGAAGTCTGCAATGTAAAGTATTACGATGATATCGAAGATGATAAAGTGTCATCTACTGGTGCGCCTTCAACAACTCTTTCCAGCACTCCAAAGCTTGAAGAATCATCGAAAACTGAAATTCCAGATTCGACGACAATTTTATATTTTACCGAAACAATCAAGACTTCATTAGCTGAAAATTACGAAGCTAGTAGTTCAACGGAACCTTCTACTTTACTGGAACCTGTAACCAAATCTTTGGAGGTCTCCCCAGAGACGTTACAGAGCGATGATCAGAAGGAAGACTTGCAAACGACTTCTCCTCATTATTCGTACTCAGATTACTCAGAAACCGGCTCTGGAGACTGTTCCGAAGAGACCGTAACTGACGAAGGGATCCCTGTAGAACCAAACGACGACCATGCTAGGATCGACAAAGCAGACATTGATATTGTCAGGGTCCCGCTGGTAATACACGTCACTGAGCCGAATATCGTGAACGTAGAGCGAAGATCGCATGAACTGAGAACCACATCTGGAACCCGAAGAAGCACGTTGCCCATTATCTCTTCTATAATCGACGAAAAAGGCGAGAAGCACCAACTCGCCTTAAAGATAAAAGTTTCTCTTGAACAGATCAACAGTGAAAATCCCCGCAAGATCGCAAATATTGAGAGGAACCTTACCTTAGAAGAACCTCTTTCTGATCATGAGAACAACAGTCTTCTGCAGCAGCTAGACGCGCTGAACAGATCCGGCGACAGCTTGGAAGCGATCAAAGAAATCTTGAATTCTTCTCTACTGGACAGGTTTTCCAAGGACATCACTAGCACGGAGAAGACGACCTATCGCAAGGAGTCAGAACAGGACTTTAATAAGTTGATCGATGATGTTTCCGAGGCAATTGGTCAGCACAAGGAAGGACGCAGAGCTAGAAACAAGCGGTCGATTAACGAAGGGGTTGAGAAATTGGGGAGCTGGTCTAATGAAAGATTCATGAACTTGGAGTCGGGTAAGCAGCTTCATAGAACAACTGAACTTACTCTTTTTAGGAATTTTAATGATTAACCTTTATTGTACATTTTATCAATAAATGATTTAATACTACAATTTGGTAATTTGTTTGTTGATTATCCTTTCATAACAATCTTGTTTGGGTGCAAGGATACATTGCAGTTGTGACACATGTACGCGTGGATGGCCTGAAGACAAGTTTGTTGGGACATTTCATTCTGTAGATTTTGTAACCGGATTCTAGTGGTATGCAGATCATGTACGCCTGACATGTTGGATCAGTTGTGTTGGCTGTTGTGCCATACAGGCCTTGACAAGGACTTATTGTTGTTGATGAAATAGGAGAAATTGTCGTTGAACTAGAAGAAATCGTTGAAGTTGTTGAAGTTGTTGTAGAAATTTCTGATGTTGAAGGAAGTTCAGTAGAATTTGATGAAGGATTCGCTGTAGAACTTCCTGATGTTGAAGGATTCGTTGTAGAACTTCCTGATGTTGAAGGATTCGTTGTAGAACTTCCTGATGTTGAAGGAAGTTCAGTAGAAGTTCCTGATGTTGAAGGAAGTTCAGTAGGATTTGAAGATGAAGGATCCGTTACACCTTGAGAGTAACTAATTTCACAAAAACCGAGTATCAGCAAACCAAAACCAGCGTATAAGAACAATCTAATCATTTTGATCAATGATAACTCCTTTAAAGAAAACTGGTATTAAACATCTTTATATACTTTCGCTAGCGAATGATCACGTCTGACAAATTTATGGTCGTTAGGACTTAAAGTACTTAGATAACAAGCAATGTCTCTAGATATCATTTATATGTTGTTTGCTTCCAGAGTTAACACTTATCTTTTTTAATTGATAAATTAATTACCTGCAAACAAGAGATATTTGGTATTCTATTAATAAGAATTTAATAATCCCGAGTAAAGTGGTAGGCAATAAATCGAAGGCCGAGTATCACGTATGCGGACGTTAAACCCGGTCACATTGACTTTCTCGTCGCTTTCTGCAAATCCATTTTGTATTCCACAGATTCACCCTCGATTTCTTCCTCATTGTCGGTCATACATGGTATTTTTAAAACAAATGATGCACCGGGCGCGGTTTTTACAAATATATGCAGTTTCACGCATTTGCGTATTGAATTATTGTTATTGCTCATTTTCAATATTTTTTTATGTATCTGGTGCAAGGATAATTCACAGATCCTCTTATAATTTTTAAAAGTCCAAAATGAATTATTAATAAAACGTGATTGAAAATAATTAATTAATCTCTTATGATTTAATTTCACTTTAATAAAATCGTGAAGACAAGTTCAATACTGAATTTTTATTAATAGTATTAATATTATTATTTTATATGGGACAATGAATTGACAAATTTAAAGCGTTGCTATATTTACAGATTTTCTATCAACGTTTTCTCATTCAATCTGGCACTTTGCTTATAAAAGAACACCTGTGGTTGCATTTTTACAGTTTCCGGATTTTCTCTGGACCAAAGCAAAGGAGAAGAAAATTTAACGGATGATTGGTAAGTAATTCATTGAAATATTTTGAATAAAAAGTAATCAGGTATTAGCCGTTTGCTTACAATTACATATTCGAGCTAACGCATTGTTTGTTATTGTTATTGTTATTAGGTACGGAAGAATGTACAATACCGTCGAACTATGGGTATTGTATGGGGAGCCATCTCCACTTCCAGTTTCAGTGTTATATCCAGTAAGAAGGCGGATTACAGCAGGAACTGGAGAGAGAACTCTTCAATATAAGTTACCTGCATGCTCTGGCTCGTGGACTCTCTCTTTGACCCTGGTCAAGTAAGCATCTCAATCCACTAATTTTTAGTTTAAAAATTTTTGTTTTAGCTGGATATTTTTACCAAGTTACCGTGAAAGTGAAAAGTTATGGGTTTATACTGTTGTTATTTATAAGTTTTGTTTACTTTCGTGGATTTTTGTGGGTTTTTTCTGTGCCAAAAAGTGTGATGATACTTAAAAGACATATTTAAGAAATGTTCTTAAGACTAGTAAGTATTTTTATTATAAAAAAATTTTTAAATTTTAAATTTCCCGCCAAAAAATTTAGTTCTAAAAATGACCGACAGGTGGCTTGCAAAAATTTTTTTTCTCGGTTGCAGAAAAATTAAAATTTAGTATAAGTAACGCGAGAAATTTTTTTAGTAAATAAATTATTTTAACTTCCTGATAATAAATTTAGCAAACTAGGCAATTAAATGAATATTTGCAATAAAATAAAATTCTGTATTTGCAGAATAAATTTAAAATGCCGTATTTTTATGGTTGTTTAAATAAAATAAATTTAACGAGAAAATTACATTGTCTGAGATGCAAAACGGTCTTATTATTGATAATTAAGTAAACTAAAAACAGTAAAAAATTTATATATTAAACTATTCCCATGACAATTTAATTTTTATGGCTCCTAACTTAAAAGATTAGAATAAAATAAAACACTTTAGCATTCTCACGGTCGAAATTAAAATTCCCGTTTGAATTTATAAGAAAGTAAAATTATTAAAAATTAAAAGTGAAAGATATTTAATTGCTTTTTAAAAATAGTTATATTTTCCTCCCACAGTTTTTCCTTTTCTCCGGGCTCTATTGTTTCGAATAATGAAAAATAATATAAGATAATCGTAGGGTGGGTTATCTAAAGAAGACTATCCTCGAAGAATATAGAATAATAATAAAAAGGACCCTCTGATCCGATCTCTTCTATTCCCATATCATATAATGATGCTCATTCTATTCTTTCCTTATTTTTACTCACTCATGTTTACTCATTGTGTTAAAGTGTTAAAGGCTGAATAAAAAATAAACCTTTAGACTACTTAACTATACGGTTCAGTAAATAGTTCGTAGATAACACGAGAACGGTTCGTTACCCGTTGACCTATTAACACTGCGACACTTACCTTGTACTTTTAAAGGCGAGTCACCACCGAATCTCCGCTATTTTACCTTATTTCCTTTTCTAGTTAATCCTGATACTTAGATTTTATATCACTTCTTATCTGATAATGCAGCATAAATATTTATAATTGCGTTGACATGTTATCTCAGTGTCGGTTATAAAATAATACGAGGATTGTATTGAAATCAGCACAATATAACTTTCTTTATCAAGATTTAGAAGCAAAGACTCACGACTGACCTTACAATTTCCAATCGCTTCTTCGATTGACCTTACGCTTATAAATCATCACTTTCAACGCAAATTATGCTTTCATGCATAATTTTTAATCATATATTATTAAATTTGTTAATATATATTAAATATTACTATTGTTTGTGTTGATTTTTTAATTAAATGTTCTTCATTTCTTAAAATTAAGACCCTGACAAAAATATCAGAAGTATCAAAAAATTGTCAAGGACCTTTTTTGTAGATAATTAAATTTTCTACAAAAAAAATATCTTATAATTTTTTCGAATTTTTGATATTTTACCTAGAATTTTAATTTAAAAAATTTGAAAATTTCTTTGATGGCAAAAAAATTATTTTTAAGATTTTGAGTTAAAATTTTGACTAAAGTATGAGACATAAAAAAAATCGAAAAAGACTTTTTTTGTAAAGAAATTTTCTACAAAAATGGCCCTTATAATTTTTAAAAATTTTTGATATTTTGCCAAAAATTCCAATTTTACAATTTTGAAAATTTTTTTGACATCAAAAAAATTGTTTTAAGAATTTTGGTTTAAATTTTTATTCAAGTATCAGAGATATGACAAAATTAATAAAGACTTTCTTTGTAAAGGATTAAATTTCCTACAAAAAAAAATCTCCTATACTTTTTTCGAATTTTTGATATACCTAGAATTTTAATTTAAAAATTTTGAAAATTTTTTCGATAGCAAAAAAATTATTTTTAAGACTGAGTTAAAATTTTTACTAAAGTATCAGAGATATGAAAAAATTTAAAAAGACTTTTTGTTTGTAGAAAATTAAATTTCCTACAAAAAAATGTTTCTTATTTATTGATATATTACCGAAAATTCCGATTTTAAAATTTTGAAAATTTTTTTGACCGCAAAAAAATTATATTTTAAATATTTTGGTTTAAATTTTGACTCAAGTATCAGAGATATGACAAAATTGATAAGGACTTTTTTTGTAAAAGATTAAATTTCCTACAAAAAATACTTTTTTTAATTTTTTCTATCGAATAGAAAAAAAAATATTTTTAAATTCTAAACAAATAATTTTTATTAAAATTGTAAATAGCAAAAGAGATAAAATTTTTATTAAATTTCTAAATCATCCACTTAATAATAAAAATAAAACAAGACTAAATTAAATAAAGTTATATTACGGTTCTCACATTAATGTTTATATATACATTGTATACATTTAAATAATGACACAGCATCCTGATCAGTAGGCTGAAGATAAATATGTATACACAAGTCGTATGGAGTTTGGCTCTCAGTCCTCAGTCCTCGTGTAATCCCCACAGCCCACTTACCTACATTAACCACCAGTAAAAATTTATATATACCAACTCGTCTCTTTATATATTTATATACCTATACTTACCTGTAGTGAACCGCGAATTTATATTATATTGCGTTGTACTGCTCTACTGTTCCATTATCATCTTCTTTCAGAATCATCCTCGCTCAACAATCTAATAAATAAAAACTAAGTTGTCTTTTTTTAGCCATTAAATAAAGCGTTAATTTTTTTCTATTCTCTATTAATATAGTGAAGAAATATAAAATAAAAACAATCAATTATCGGCATATTCTTTCTGGGTTATTTGTGTACTCGATGTACGGACACAACTGACCGTGGAAATAATTCGCAATTAGCGTTACATAAATAAACGAGGGTAACGGCAAACGGCATTTTTCGTTTGAAAGAGCTTAAAAATCATTAATTTCGTTAAAGTGTGTTCCGTGGATCATTAATGTTAATTATACAGCTAGTTTTTTTTTTTAATTTTGTTATAATTATAATTGCGATTGTTACTTTTGTTGCAAAATTTCAATTTTTTGAAAATTTAGTAGGGTTCTATTTTGTTTCAAACTTTTTTTGCCGTATTTTTATTAGATTTGTCAATTTTTTCTTTCTTACAATTATATTAAAAAATTAATATATAAAAAATTATTACATTTGTCATTTTCTGTTTTTTATTTTACTTCTATTAAAAAATTTGTCAATTTCTTCTTTCTTCAGTTTGATTCAAAAATTCACTATCAATAATTTATTAAGTTTTTTAATTTCTTCTTTTTCTTCACTTACATATAAAAATTAATTATTAATAAATTATTAGATTTGTCTATTTCTTCTTTCTTTGGTTTTATTTAAAAATAAATTATCAGATTTGTCAATCTCTTCTTTCTTTAATTTCATGCAAAAATTTACTATCAATAATTTATTAAATTTTTCTTCATTTTTATATGAAAATTAATTATTTATAAATTATTTCTTCTTTCTTTGGTTTTAATTAAAAATAAATTATCAGATTTGTCAATCTCTTCTATCTTTAGTTTCCTTTAAAAATTAATTATTAATCAATTATTAGATTTGTCAATTTCTTCTCTCCTTAGTTTCCTTTAAGAAGTAATTATTAATAAATTATTAAATTTTTTAATTTCTTCTTTCTTTAGTTTAATTTAAAAATTTACTATCAATAATTTATTAAATTTGACAATTTCTTCTTTTTCTTCAGTTACATTTAAAAATTAATATTATTATATTTTTTTTTTTTTTACACAAATTAGCAATGCGTAAATTACCAAAGTTCTATTGATTTTATATTGTTTTTTATCTTGCCAAATTTGTTATCTTTTTTCTAATTGTTTTTATATTATACTTACTCACTCTAACTCTATTTATTCTTTGTATAATTTGTATCGAGGATTGTATCCTGAATCGCACAAATAAATTTAATAAAAAATTAATTATTAATAAATTACTAGATTTATTTATTCATTTTATTTTAATTTCATTTCATTTAATAATAAATTATAAGATTTGTCAATTTCTTTTTTTTTTTTTTCAGTTTTATTTAAAAATTAATTATTAATAAATTATTAGATTTCTTCTTTTTTTATTTTTATTTAAAAATTAATTATTACATTTGTCAATTTCTTCTTTTCTTAATTTCAAATGAAAATTAATTATAAATAAATAAAAGAATTCTAGATAAAGATCTAACTAAAATAATTGAGATTCCAAGTCGAGTAAGTCTTATTCGGATGAAGGTGGAAGTAGAATAGCGGATAACTAGGGAAAATCGTGTGAGTTTACATTATTTACGTAGATGAATCAAAACGGAAATTCATGTCTTTCGTGAGCACTAGTACTGTTCCTTCTTCACTTTCTTGTAACGAATTCAGTGTAAAACACATCAACAAACAACAATAATAATAATAATTATTATTATATTAATAATACATGCTCTGAGATAGTTTCCGGAGTATTAACGCGCTAACAATTATTAACTCTCGCTCATATTTATTTCTTTTATTTATCTAAATCACACTTTTTAATTTATTTTCTGTCAATTATTATTCTTTAATGAAAAATTTCCTTGAACTAAATACCAGCCATTATCTAGTCACTCTAAAAATGGCTATAATTCTAGAATTATTAATTTTATCAAAAAATTATAAGAGACCAAAATTGTAACTATCTTCAATATTTTAAGAGATATAGTCACTTAAACACTGATAGAAGGGTTTGTTTATATTTAATAAGCTTTATTAACTGTTCATAAATGATTTTTTAACATCATAGGATTTAATAAATATTTATTAACAGTTAATAAATTATTTATTAAATACGATTTATTAAATGTTAATAAATATTTGTTAACAGTTAACAAATATTTATTAAAAGTTAATAAGTAATTTATTAAGTACAATATATTAACTGTTAATAAATATTTATCAATGGTTAATGAATATTTGTTAGCTGTTAACAAATATTTATTTAAAATAAAAAGCAAAAATAGCAATTTTTTTTTGACACAACCCTATAGCTGGAATACATGATAATAATTTAATTCAGTAAATAAATTAACCTTTTTAATATTTAAAAATATAAAAGATAATTATGAGCTGTGATAGAATTTGGTATTTTACAGTAAACATTATTATAATGTAATATAATTAATGCAAATAATTAAAAAAAATTTTGAAGGGAATTTATAATATTTTAATATTTCAAAGAAAAAAATGTACATTAGCTAAAATATGGATGTAATTAAAGGATTTAATTAAGTAAATTTATATTATTTGTTCTTTCAGAATTTTTACAATCTGAGATGGTTACAGTTACCATCTTTGATTGTAACAGTTATAATTTATAATAATTACAATTATTATTTTCAATAGTAATCGTTACCATTATTAATAGTAACTATTACAATTGTCAATGATACCATTTATTATTTTGTTACTAATTTATTTTATTACCATTTTAGATAGTAGGAGTTACTATTTTTGTATAGTAGGTAGTAAAATTAATTTTTCTCCGTGTACTTATTAACAATAAATATACTTTCCTCCCAAATAAATATTTATTAAATGTTAAAATATATTTATTAAAATTTAATAAATTAAATAATTGTCTTCAAATAAATGAATTTATTAATAGTTTATAAATCCTTCTATCAGTGAATAGTCTTCACAGAGTGAAGAATGAAGAATCATTACCTAGTTACTTTATAAAAATGTTCATAACTCCTAAAATAATGATTAATGGAAAAAATCATAAAAATCCAAAATTGTAGCTTAGAAAATTTCCTATTGAAAATGTTTTTATACTATGAAGCTATCTTCAGTATTTTAGGAGATACACTAAGTAATGCTTATTGCCTAATCACTATAAAAATAACTATATAACTTCTAAACTGTAAATAAAAAAAAAATTAGTATTATTATTATTTTGACAATAATAACAAATAAAATATAAAATTTTCTTTAACGAAGACCAAGCGCGAGGTCGTTCCGCGTAGGTAAAAAATAATTCTCACGCGTTGGCCTACTTAAGAGTGATCGTCGTCGTTTTCCTCATCCTCGTATCGTCTTCGTCGTACTTATTCTCATGACATTGACTGAGTTCAAACCTCGAACTTACACTACTTAAATTATACGTACTCTCCAGAGTACCTTGGTACATAAAATCTCATATGAGTAACTCGTTATATTACCCCGTTTAACGTAACAAAAAAACGCAAATAGCCTTGAAGATTTACGGCTGCCAATAATTGGACTCATTATTCAAAACAATATAGTAATTTTTTACGCGCCTCCTAAAGCAGCTTATAAAGAATTGCCAATTTTCGATAATTTATTATTCAGACACACGACAAGAAATTTAAAATTTTCAGTCACCCAATACTAGCCGTGAAAGTCGCATAAATTTAAAAAGCCAAACAATTTGTTTGATTTCATTTAAATATGTAAACACTTAACTTTTATATTGACAAATTGAAAGTTGTTTTAATTATTTCTTCGCATTAGACTTTTACTATGTAATACTTAGCAAATTGTTAAAATTTCAATAAGTTCTTTTCATTATTTTATTTGCCTGCGATTTTATCTATATTTGTACGCTTATAAATATATATATATGTTTGTACGTATGAATATGCGTGCTCATGCCCGGAGATTTCCAAAGAAGAGAAATCGTTAGTATTGTCTTCTTTCCTTCTTACAGTAGTAAAACTTTTCATATAAACATTGTCCCGCAAACCAAAGATAATTTTTATCACTCGAAAATTATTCATTAACATAAACTACAAACCAACTTCAATTATATTATTCAATTGTATTTTTTTTCTGACTGTTAATTTAATGTCAGTTAACTTAATTTACACCCGCATTAGTTCCGATGACTCGACGGGTTTTGTAATTTTCTCAAAAATTTTAAGTAAAAATTATTTCCCGCGCTATATAAAAAATAAACTTTTGCTCTAATTTATTGTAATTTATGTAGCTTATTAATTTATAGTTTAAATAATTAATTTAATTGTGATTTTTTAATTTAAAGCGTTAACGCTAATTATTTGAATTAACATACATTAGTTATGGTTATGGTGAATAAACATTTTGTTATTTTCATATAAAGCAAATTATAATGTACTTATTTTGTATATTAATAATTCATTTTTAATTTGCGTTATATAAATTTTATAAATGTGTCATTTTTTACATAAACTGAAAAAATAATTAACTTAATCAAGAGAATCATTTTGAAAAATTTTATTTTTTTAATTTAAGTAGAAAAACTTTTGCATTAAGAAATTTTTTTAAATTTAAGTATACTTTACTTGATCAATAATTTTTTTCTTCAATCAAATTAATTTTTTTTTCCAGTGAATTAAAAAAAATCGATTTTTTAAGCATTTTAAATGCGTTTGATCCCTAAAATATCTTAAAAAATTTGAAAAAATAATTTTTCAAAGCTCAAAACAATTAAAACATACCAAAAAACAAAAAAACAAAAATTTAGTTCTAAAAATCACCACTAGGTGGCTTCAGACCAGGAAATCTTTCCGCAGTCAGAAGTGTCTAACCAGCCAAATATGGATTTTCCACATCAATAACGCTAAATATGTTTTCAGGGCCTCACGTATTTAATCCTTTTTACATACGCACCAAATGTAGCCCCAGCACGCCCAAATGGACGTCCAATGCCTCGACGGAACATTCGACGAGCGGTGCCAAGCGAATTTCTTACGCCTCCGGCACCACCATTGCCTCTAAATCGGCCAGCTAACAACTTCAGGCATGGAAAAATCCTAACCCCGCAGCCAACAAAGGGCACTGAGTCTCCAGGATATCTTTCCCGTCTGATGGGGTACCTGGGTAACCCCTTCAGAGACCAGCAGCCTCCACGACCAGCCCAGAAGAATGGAAACATCCATGGGGGATTTCTCCAACCTCCTCCTCCTCCTCCTGCTCCAAGTAATTACGGTCCTCCGGCTCCTACAGTGCCTCAACCTCCACCGGTCCAGCCGCCTCAGTATCAGCCGTAAGTTTTCCTAAAAAATTCAATTGTTTATAAATTTGTGTAGATAATTTTCCAAGATATTTCATTTTAAATCTAGACCTCAAGCGCCATCGCCTTCAACAGGTCAAGCTTACTTACCACCTCTGAACACCTTCGGAAGAAGTTGCGATCCTTGCAATACGGTGCCTTGGATTCCAATCCACCAGAACGTTGATGTTCCTCAAGTAAATCCAGGGTATGAGAGTCCAGAACATCATAATGTTCCAGTCCAAGCTGATCTTCATGTAGCGCCGCCTTTGGATATCAAGCAACCGGATTTTAGTTACGGAGTTCCTAACGGAGCGATTTCGAATCCTCATATGTACCCAGGAGCTGTTCCACCTTTGTTTAAAGCTACTGCCTTTGATACGCATTCTGCTGATTCTGGGGTCAGTCCAGAAGTGGTTCCTTTTGAAGGGAATCAAAATTCAGGGCAGAATTTGCAAGCAGCTACTTTGAGTTTTGAAGCACATATCTCTGAAAATCAGAGGAACAATCAGTTTGGTCAAGGGCTTAATCAGTTCCAAGAACAGACTCAGGGTTCCAATCAGTTCCAAGAACAGACTCATGGTTCCAATCAGTTCCAAGAACAGAGTCATGGTTCCAATCAGTTCCAAGAACAAAATCAAGGTTCCAATCAGTTCCAAGAACAGACTCATGGTTCCAATCAGTTCCAAGAACAGACTCATGCTTCTAAACAGTTCCAAGAACATACTCAAAGTTCCAATCAGTTCCAAGAACAAACTCATGGTTCCAAACAGTTCCAAGAACATTCTCAAAGTTCTAACCAGTTCCAGGAACAGACTCAAGGATATGATCAAGTTCCAAACCAACAGTTCCAAGGCTCCCAAGATTTTAATCAGCCATCAGGACCATCCGGTAACTCTGGATACGTAGACGTTCTTCCCCCAGGAGCTGAAGTTTCTGGCTCAGATTCATCAGCATTTGACTCAACCCACCAAATCTCAGAAGTAGCTTCTGCTTCGGCCCAAATCGAAACTTCTGACCCCCCAAGTCCTGCTCGAAAGCCTCACAGCTTCGAAATACCATCAGGACACATCATCCACGTGGAGCAATCTCCCGTAATAGACTTATCGGAAGAAGATTCCGGGAATCTGGACTCACCAGTGATTCTCCAAAACCCGGATGGTACTTACGGAATCAACGCAACCTGGCCCAGCGGAGATTCTTCCCGGATTTGGTCTGCAGAATCAGCTCAGGCTTCCAATGAAGCTCCGGAGATCTTTCAGAATGTCAACTTGAACCTCACCGATTCTGCTGCTAGCAGTGCTAGCAACAATTACAGAACCGCTGAAGGAACAACTGAGTCGTTGATCAAATCTGTCATCAAGTCATATAATACTTTTGAAAAAGAGATTAATTCCCTTGATCGGGGACAGGGTTACGGGAACAGGAAGTTGAACCTAAAGGATTTTTCAACTATTTCCGTTTTGAGTCAAGAGTCTCAGGAATTCACGCCGAGGTCCACTGATCGGCAAGCTGGAACAAGGAAAAATAAGGTAAGTTGATTGATTTTGGTGTTTTTAGGTAGATTTCGTAGAAATATATCTATTGCATTGGCCCTTGTGTCAGAATTTACAAGGAATTTTGTCATTTTATCTTTTATGTAGTCAAGAAAGGCTCCAAATTAGCATTGGTTCAAAAGTTTATGTATATATGTAACATAACGTGGATTGTAAACATGATAGCGTCTACAATTCTCAACGGATTTAAATAAAACTTGGTACATATATTCTTTGAGTAATTAACCTGAACGAGTTCGAAGATGAGCAAAATTGATCAATTAGTTTAGAAATGGCGGCCATTTAAAATTTTCAAAATAGTGAATATCACGTTTTTGGTCACTTCATTAATGAAGTTATCATCACCGAAGTGATGATAACTTTTGATTAAAAAGAGAGCTAATTTTTGAAAAATTCATGTGATATCTCATGAAATTGACATTTTGACCATTTTTCGTTATTTTATCAAGGTTAAGAGTGCAATTGAACCATTTTCAAGTAATGTGTAGTACAACCGACTTATGAATGTTATTCTATCGAGAATTCTCATCAGATCCTAGTGAAATTTATTATATAGATTCTAGGGTGTGCCAAAATGTAACTTTCGTGGAGAACCTTTTAAAATTGGAATTTTGAGTTCCGATTTTAACAGCAGATGTGTTTGGACATTTCCTGAGATATTTCGGGGTGAGAAGATTTAATTGATGTTCATAGAATTTTTAACAGGAGATTTAATTGGGCACTTCCGGCGAAATTTTGAATTTTCAGCGGAAGTGCCCAAACTAAGCTCCTGTTAAAAAATTCTATGAAAATAAAATATATCGTCTCATCCCAAAATATCTCAGGGAATGCTAAAACACATCCCCTGTTAAAAGCGGAACTCAAAATTCAAATTTTAAAAGGTTCACTGATAGAAGAACAATCTTGATTCAAGAAACTTTTTTTTTTTTCAAAACTTGAACTCTTGAAACTAGATATAGATATATTTCTTTCAAGAATTTTTGAATCATTGATTCAAGATGTTACCGACTTGTGTTAAGAATGGCTTTTTTTTGAGTCATTAATTAATTTACTTATTTCCAAGAAATAATTTTTATTTGGTATAACAATTAAAGACTATTTAGTTTTTGAAATATACTTTGATGAATTATTTTAAGTTTTTTAAACGATAATGTTATTTTGATTGAAAAACTTAAATGTATCGATTGAAGATAATATACATAGCTCTTAAGCCAAGAAAATCTAAATCAAGACAAGAAATTCTTGAAGCAAAATAATCATCTGTCTTCCAAAATAAATTCTTAGATCAAGAAAATATCTCTTGAGTCAACATAAATTTTCTATCAGTGTTCTTTACGGAAGTTAGATTTTTACACACCCTATTAGATTCCTTGGACAATTAGCTTGCATGAGCCCTAAAATGAGCAAAATTCATCAATAAGTTTAGAAATGGTAGCTCTTCAAAATTATCAAAATAGTAAAAATCACGTTTTCGGTGACTTCATTGATGTATAACTTTCGATTGAACAAAGATTGCTAATTTTTGATAAATTCATGTGAAAGCTCATGAAATCACCTTTCATTTGACGTTTATAATATTGGCATTTTGACCCATTCTTAGTTATTTTATCAAAGTTAAGAGTGCAATTGAACCATTTTCAGGCAATGTGTAGTACAACCGACTTATGTATGTTAGTTTATAAAGAATTTCATTCTGTGAAGTCTACCTTCCGTTCCGGGTGTGGGCGAATGGCGTTTTTTTTTTTGATTAAGTAATTTAATAAAGATTGTTCTTGCAGGTACAAATAATAATTCCTTACACTTCTGACCATATGCCGACGCCGTTCCACACTCATAGGTCCAGCGAAGAAAAGATATCCAGGGCACAAGAAAGGTCAGTGATGCCTGATAATCACAATCCTGTTGATCAGGAATTCAAAGCAGAAGAAGAAGATATTGGAGATGTTAATGCTGAAGAGGAAGAAGAAGAAGATGATGAAGAACTGGAGGAAGTTGAGGATTTAAAGAAATTGTTCAATGATTCATGGACGCAGAAAAAGGAAGAATCGACAGTGAAGCCCACGACGGCGAAAGCCAACACCTCGATAGACGTCTTGAGGCTGCAGAAGAACATAGACAATTGGACAATCCAGGTTAGTTTTATGTCTGGCGTTGAATTGAATAATATAACATGAGATTATGAATTTATGAATGGATCCAGAGTTCTCAGGGAAGCGTGCAAGTGTGAAGTGAGAAGAAGTCTGAATAAAATACAGGTCCAAGGTTGATGATATGTTGTAGTAAATTATGTGATGGTGATGACTGATGAGATCGTAAATTATGCGAGACATGGATGTGGGTTACTCTTACCGGGGTGACCTGGCGAAAAAGCGAGTCGTTAGTTATTTTCTCATCCGCTTTTCTCTCTCTTAGGAATACTCACGTGGGACTACCGCGACTACTTCCACGCCGATTTATTCTCACCAGCTGTTGCAGTCCAAGAAAATTCCTGATGAATATTTAACCACCGAGGCTCAACAGCCGGTTCAAGAGTCTAGAGGAGAAAAGAGTCTTGGGAATATTTTAGAGGGGTTCAATTTCAATGATCTTGAGCATGAGGGATCTGCCAGCAGTCGCGTTGATTTTTCAAATGTCCAGGTAATTATTAGTGATACTGAAATCGGCTGGCATCTGACTATTTTATTTACTTTTATTACAAAAAAAAATATTTATACAAATTTTACACTTGTCATTTTTTTTACTGAAGTTAACTGACAATGAAAATTAAATTAGCAGATATTTGATAATTTCGAAAATATTTGTAACGATTAAATTATAGTAAAAAAAATAAAAATTCAATTTAGTAAATTTTAAATTACAATAAATGAGGAGTTGAGTTTCAAAAGGGTATCTTTTCATTTTTGATTAATCGAGACAAAATACTGGTTATCTTCAATTAGAAATATTTTTACTGAACTTTTTTAATTTAGCTATAAACTGCTATCGGTTTTGAAGCTACAATTCGATTTTCATTTGGAATTATTTGTAATTTTCAAAGTAATTAATATTTAAAAGTTCAAAGAACTGCTCTTTTAAAATACGAAAAGATACCCTTTTGAAAATCAGCTCCTCAAATGCAACAAAGTTCTAAAAAAATGTATAACTTCAGTATCATATTTTTTTTTTTAATCTGTAGACGTGGAATTTTTTAATAAAGATTTTTTTACAATAATTCAGTTTTATAAATTCAAAAAATCAACAGATGTCTGTGAATTTTAGTATCAAAATTATTAGTATTGATATTTTTAACCATGACATTAAAGTTAGCAGTCACTTCACAATTTTTTAATTTTATTTAACAAAAAAATTTATCCCAAAAAATGATTTTTGAAAAATTGCATTTTTTACTTTTTAAAATTTCTACACGTCAATTTTTTTGCCATGATTTATTTTTTACAAAATTCTTTAAATTATTAAATATATACTAAATTAGTTTTCATTTTTTTACTTAATACTGAATTTTTGATAAGTATTTGTAAGTTACTGATTTTATGTAAAATTATGATACTGATGTGTGATGAATAGAGCCGAGAATTTAGTTTTTTTAAAAGAGAGAGACAGCAGATAGGTGTAGCCAAGCGTTCTGATTGGTCGTAATAAATTAATTGTTTTTTGTTTTTCGCAATCAAGTGAAGACAGCAGCTTGAAGGAAAAATAAAAATTAGATTGCTAATCCAATATGAAAATATAAAAAATATGTCAAAAAAAACAGGTTAGTTTGCAGATGTTAAAGTGCTTGTAAACAAATACAAGTCCGTACTGCTCAAATAAATAAAGAAGAGAATTTCAAGCACAGTGTTGTGACCAAAATGTTTGATGAAATTAATTTAAAGTGAACAGTGACAAGCTGGCGATTTCGCTGGAGATCGCGTAAAGGAATTGCTCCCGGTCTCACTGGTAATTTTGCTGGACATCGCACTGACGGTCTATTTAAAGGTCTTGCTAGAACTCTTGCTGACGGTCTCGCTGGAGATCACGCTGACAGTCTCGCTGGAGGTCGTTTCGCTAGAAGTTGTGCTAATGGTATTGCTGCCGGTCTCACTGGTAATTTTGCTAGCGATAACGGTGATGGTATCGCTGGAGATCACACTGACGGTCTTTCTGGAAATCTCGCTGGAGATCACGCTGACCTTTTTTTTTAGAGGTCTCGCTGGTGATCACGCTGACGATCTTTCTGGAGGTCTCGCTGGAGATCACGCTGACGATATCTCTGGAGGTCTTGCTGGTGATCACGTTGACTGTCTTTCTGGAGGTCCCGCTGACCCCCTCGCTAGCCTGATCTCCAGTGAGACCTTCAGCGTGATCTCCTGCGAGATCTCCAAAAAGATCGGCAGCGTGATCTCCAGCGAGACTTCCAGAAAGACCGTCAGCGTGATCACCAGCGAGACCTCTAAAAAAAAAGGTCAGCGTGATCTCCAGCGAGATTTCCAGAAAGACCGTCAGTGTGATCTCCAGCGATACCATCACCGTGATCGACAGCAAAATCACCAGCGAGACCGGGAGCAATACCATTAGCACAACTTCCAGCAAAACAACCTCTAGTGAGACCATCAGCGAGACCATCAGCGAGACCGTCAGCAAGAGTTCTAGCAAGACCTTTAAATAGACCGTCAGTGCGATGTCCAGCAAAATTACCAGTGAGACCGGGAGCAATTCCTTTACGCGATCTCCAGCGAAATCGCCAGCTTGTCACTGTTCACTTTAAATTAATTTCATCAAACATTTTGGTCACAACACTGTGCTTGAAATTCTCTTCTTTATTTATTTGAGCAGTACGGACTTGTATTTGTTTACAAGCACTTTAACATCTGCAAACTAACCTGTTTTTTTTGACATATTTTTTATATTTTCATGTTGGATTAGCAATCTAATTTTTATTTTTCCTTCAAGCTGCTGTCTTCACTTGATTGTGAAAAACAAAAAACAATTAATTTATTACGACCAATCAGAACGCTTGGCTACGCCTATCTGCTGTCTCTCTCTTTTAAAAAAACTAAATTCTCGGCCCTAGTGATGAATAATATTAAAGTTAGCCGACGTTTCTAATTTTTTGATTTTTTTTCAATAATTAAATTAAATCAAAAAAATATTTTAAAAATTGCACTTACAGTTTTTCAAGTTTTTTACAAATGAAATTTTTTTTTTAGTTTTTGTAAAAGTTTTTTCAATAAAAAAAAAATTCTAAGAATTTTCAGATGTCGGCTAATTTAATTTTCATCATTGATGATTCTGAAGCTAGTTGACAGCTGTCAATTTTTTTAATTTTTATAACAAGTCAATTACAATTAAAAAAACCTTCTAAAAAATTTTACCGATCATTTTTTTTAATTTTCACATGTGGAATTTTTTTATTAAATTTTTTTCATTACAATTTTATTGGTATAAAATTCAAAGAAATTTATATTGTCTGTTATCTTCAGTGTCAAGAATTTCTTTAAATAATGACCTGCCAGGTAGAGATGGCACCCAAAGTTGGCGCAACTAATTCAGTTTGAGTTTTAAGTTACTAAATATTTTTATTTTTTTTTATCCTTAGAGTGATGTTTCATCGAACTCATTGGAATCATCGGAGTCAAGCACAATTCCAAGTGACATTAGTTATGGTTCTAATGAAGATGTTTCTTGGGAACAACTTCCGGTCTCGATTTCACCGTTGAGTAATGAACGTGTGTACGTTGTTACGCCACAGACTGCATTGAAACCTGCGGCTTTCAATAGCAGCAATGATAGTAATAAGATTAATAATAATAATAATAACAATAATAATAGTAATAGTAGTAGCAGTAGTAAGTTAGATAATGCTGAAAATTCAACATCAGCAAATTCGACGGTAAAATTTGACTCTGTTGAAAAATCGTATCAAGTTTTACCTCAGGCCGTCAATAATCTCGCTGTAGTGTCAACCGGGCCTGCTACTGTTCCACTGTGGGGTATTATGGAGCATGAAGAGTACGCGAGTTTTAATAAAACTTCACCAAAAACTCTGGTTTTATACTCAGGTCACTCAAAGGTTAGTTTTTTTTTAATTTTACGGGTACTGAAATTATTAGACACCTTTTAATTTTTTTTATTTTTATAATAACTAAATTATAATAATAATAATAATATTAGCAGATATCTAACAATTTTATAATACTAAAGTTAAGCGACATTTTTAATTTTTTGAGTTTTTTTTAATTATTAAATTAAAACTAAATAAAATTTTTTTAAATTGCACGTATAGTTTTTCAAATTTTTTACAAATGAAATTTTTTTTTAATTTTTTTCTAATAATTTTTTTAATACAAAAAAATTCTAAAAATTTTTAGATGCTGGCTAATTTGATTTTCATCAATTTTTAGAATTTTTTTTAAATAAAAATAAAGTTAGCTAACATGTAAAAAATTGTTAGAATTTCTTTAATTGAAAAAATTATTACAAAAAAATTGAAAAAATTAAAAAAAAATTTAATTTGTAAAAAACTTAATAAATTACAAGTGTAATTAAAAAAAAATATTTTTTGTTCTAATTTAATAAATAAAAAAGAATTAAAAACCGTCGACTAAGTATTATTTTTTTTTTATTACAAAAGTTAATAGAAAAAAAAAGATAAATTGGGCAGATAAAATATTTGAAAAATGACATGCAATTTTTAAAAAATATTTTTCTAGTTCTTATTCAATTAATGAAAAAAATAAAAAAAAATTTTTAATTTCTGCTGATTTTAGTGTAGTAAATTATTAGGAAAAAAAATTTCGTATTTAGATATTTAAACAAATCGTGATATACTAAAATTAGCCGAAGTTAAAAAATTTTTGATTTTTTTCATCAATTAAATTAGAAGTAAGAAAATATTTTTTTTTAAATCTTCTATATGTGAAAATTTTTGTTGTAATGATTTCTTCAAGAAAAAAATTAAAAAAATTTTCAGATCTTGGCTAATTTAATTTTCATAAACAAATTAAATTTTTAAAATTATTTATTTATTTGTTATAAAAATCAGAAAAAATTATCTGATAATTTCAGTATTATTTAATTTCATAGATTATGATTAATGATGTTAACCTAAAATGGAGAATAATGAAATCATATATTTATGTTCCAGGTGTCTCATGCAAGAAGTTAGTGCGCTCATGCGTGTTTCTATAGACTGCCAAATAAATATTTATCTTACGTGCTTAGTATAAGTTAACATAATAATTAGTCTAAATAAGTATATAAGTAATTTAATTAACAATTAAGCTCAGAAACGCGACCAGTGATACAATATGGCCAGTTTTGGGCGCTTAATTATAATAAATTATATTAATTTTAATGTAATTGCTGATCGTAATTTAATCGGAATTAGTAATTACATTTATATGAATAAATAAAACGACAGAATTTGAAATAGAAATCATGTGGCATTTAAAGGAGAAAATAATGCAAATATTGCCTAGACGTGGTAACAATTTAAATAGATTTTTAAAAAGTGATTCGCCTTCTATTCGGCTTTCGCTGATTTCGTGAAACCGTTCAGTTGGGTCACTGCCAATATTTTTGTTGTTGTTATTTTTGTATAAACAATAAATATTTATTAAGACCGGAGAAAATCGTTCAGAGTCAGTAATTATTTATCATTGTTTTTAATAAAAAAAAAAAAGTTTATTTGTTTTGCTTTTTTTTTGGTTTAACAGAATGAACTTGAAGAATTTAAAGAAGCGGTGTTTATTTTCGGGGTCGATGATTTTGAGAAAAAAAGAAAGAAGAAATGAAAGACTATTAAACTTGACACGGAGTCATGAACCGTGTGAATAATGTTAATGCCGGATGGAAGAGTGTGGAAAAGCGTTTCCATTGTTTGGTGATACCGTCGAGGATTACTCAGTGGCTGGTTCCATAACAAGACTGCTCCAAATATATGTATATATTTATATATTTATATACACACATTGTCGCTGGTTAAAAGAGAGCAAATACAAGACCCGTGATCTCATACTCATGTGTAATTAAAAAATGAGTTACATGTTGCAGTGAAGAGTCGAGAGAAAGATCAAACAAGGACGCGACCTTAATGAGGAAGCGAATGTAAAATGTGCGAACGGTGAAATTAAATTCCAATTATTTTTTTAATTAACTGGATATTTATATACTTAATAATAAATACTTGAATTCTCTTCTTTAATTTTTCAATTCGAAGAAGAAATTATTGCCTGAGGATCAATAATTAAAAGTAAATGAATTAGTAAATTAATTAACAATTTATTAATGAGTATTTAAGTTACAGCTTTGTATTCTTTGCTCTTTCCGTTTTTTCTCCGACTACTGATGATCATTTCTGCTGACCACATAACAATTGTTATCGCTGACATCAAGTTTATCAGGAATATACATGGCACATAATTACCTTTAGCTTCACGGATTATTCCTACAAAATTAACATAATTAAATGATTAATTAAAAAATATTATTATTATTTTTTTTTCATTATCTTTAAAATTTTTTTTAATAATTTTAATTATTTCATAGGCAGTCCGGTCTCTTTTTTTTAATTTATTTTTATTATTCTTATGATCTTTAAATATTTATCGTTCAATACTCCGATTGAACTTCAAATAAATTTTTATTAAAAATCAAAGAATGACTTTGAAAAAGTCTGATTCATAAGCTCCATATTTTTTCGAAGTCATTCTTTGAATTTTTAAAGAAAATTTATTTGACGTTCAATCGGAGTATTGAACAACAAATAAGGTAAAAGCTCCTATTATTGACAGGGTCCCCACTATTGACACCCGATTTAATTTTATTATTTCACTAGCTGACCCAGTGAACTTCGTATCACCTACAATATACTTTGTTACACCTTTCGATCAGCGATTATCAATCGTTAAACTCTAATCTACTTCGATAAAGAATATAACTGGCTGTATGAAGTGCGGTTATGAAATTTTGCTGAATTTATGAAATTTTTTTTATCCATATATACAGAAGATAGACGATTAACAATTTTAGATCTGTTGATTTCCTTAGCTGAATTTACGGGTTTTCTTATAAAAAGGTTTTTCAATAAAAAGAAAATTTTTGAAATCGGTCCAGCCGTTTTTGAGTTTTAGTGAGACGAACGCACAGCAATTAATTTTTTTTTTATTTTTTTAGCTGAACTTTCGGGTTTTTCAAAAATTTTTATTTTTCTAAACCATCCCTGAACTATAACAAAACAAAAAAAAAAAAATTTTGAAAATCGGTCCAGCCGTTTTTGAGTTTTAGCGAGATTTACGCACAGCAATTTATTTTTATATATATAGATCATTAAAATCTGTTAATAATCAATTAATCACAATTGTTGATATTTCATGACAATTTTACATATTTCTAAAATTAAAAAATAGTAAAATTTAATTCCAAGGTATAAACTACCGCAAAAAAATTGCATTTTTTCAAGTAGGCCAAAATTGCTTATACGTTTGTAATTTCTTAACAATATTGTTAAGAAAGACCTTATTTTCAAATCCAGATTTATCAATGTTTTTTTTATGTAATTGCATTGTTTAAAATTATTTTAGATTATTTATAGTCTAAATAACCATATAATCATTTATTTATACTTTATCGAGTTAAAATAATAAAAATTATTAATAGTTTTGCATTAGTAATAAACGACCTGTCAATAATAGTACCATAGGATCAATGGTATGTCAATAGTCGGCTCTTTGAATTTTTTGCGTAGTCAACAATACATACATTAGATCTGTTGGTTTTAAGTTGATATAATAATTATACAATTTATTGCTATTAAAGTTTATTAATTAAATTATATAAGTCAAAACTATGATTAAGGTTTCCTATAAAAAAAAGTTGACAATATTGATTTGAAACACGATATAAAAATTCAAATATTCAAGATCACTCTTATATAGTGTTAATAATGGGGGCTTTTACCTTATTTAAAGATTATAAGAATAAAAAAAATTAATTTGAAAAAAAAGATTGGACTGCCTATGAAATAATTGAAATTAAAAAAAAAATATGTATGTGTATCAGAGTACACAGGTAAGAAGTAAAACTTCTTTATGACACATCATTTTTCTACTATTTATAACTTCATAGAAATTGGGTAGATAAAGCTTAAGAAAAAAAAATTTTTCCATATTAAATTAAAGATATTTCAATATTATAATAACCATGCATACAGATGGAGCGTAACCGACAATCGTGACGTTTTTTTTTTATATTGCTATAAAATTTCTCTCATACGTCGATAAAGAAGTTTTACTTCAATAATAATGAAACAATTATTAGTATAATAATTAACTAGTAAACGAATACACAACCAATAGGGCGTGTTTTTTCTCGATATCCCGTATTCTCTCTCTCTCTTGTTCAATCTTTCTCACTATAGCTCTCTCCCACCTCACACTCCATAGCACTATGCGTGATACGACGTTCGCTCTGTCTCACTTTTTCTCTCAATCTTTCTCACTCGCTTGCTCCCTACTCTCACTCCACGGCTAGTTGCTCATGCTACGTTCGCCCTGTCTTACTCTCTCTCAATCGGTCTCGATCACTCTCTCTCTCTTTTCCGACACTTCCGTTGCATACCGGCGTGACGTTTCATCTGTAAAAATTTTACCCTCATGCGCCTAAAGAAGTTTCACTTCAAAAATTTTTAAAGATAATGAAAAACTATTATCTCCGGTCATTAGTATTGAAAATAAACTTAAAAATTATTATTGTTGTTGAAATTTAACAATTAATTTACCTAGTACAGGACTAAGTGCGCCAATAATAACGCCGTTGACAAAAATTTGGATCCCCGTAGCGTGAGCAAGTCTTTCTATGGGAACATAGCTAGGTACCACAAGCGACATAAATACAGAACGTGATCCTTTAGCAAATCCTATGCCAACCGCCATAATTATCATGGAAGTAAAGTCGGAGAAAATTGTCACGACTGGAGAAAAAAATATTTTTGTTTATTTCATAAATTTAATTGTGAATTGTTTCTTTATGATGATTAATTTACTTGATCTGCTGAGGATGAGCATCAGCAAACTAACAAGATACATCTTTCTCGGAGTCTGTCTGAGCCACTCAGCAATGAACGGTGACACTCCTCTCATCATCAAGTCGACGAAGCCCATGGTGCTCATTACAGCGGCGATCTGTACTTTGGTGAACTGAATTTCGTTCAAAATAAACGGCATCAGTATGGAGAAGTTTATTTCCGCAAAGGCTGCTATTGACAGCCCGAGCATCAGGTTGACGTAAATCGGGTCGCACAGCAGACGCAAGTCGAGCACATTAACGATTCTATGCAGAACGCGGGTCAAACGAGCACAACATCCACCGACCTCCGACTTTCCCGATTGTTCACTTTTTGATCTGAAATTATAATTTTTTATTTATTATTTACTCTGACTTATATTATAATTAATATATTTATTCGTTTAATTAGTTTATTATATTATGAAGTTGAAGTTATAAATATCGGATGATCATTTAATAATCAATTTTTCGATATATTATCAATTACATTATTTTTGATCAAATACAAAAAATTTATACAAGATAATCTTCTATTTTTTTTTTTAAATTGAAAAAATATCACTTAAAAAAAATTTAAGGATTTGCAGAAAATATCAAAGTTTAATATAATAAAAAAAAAATCAAGGATGGTAATTATCAAGAAATTTTGGATTTTTTTTCAAAAATCCAAAAAGTAATGATAAAGATAGGTTTGAATATTTTTTTTGAATACATTTAAAAACAAAAATTAAAAAAACATTGAATTTTTAAAAAATTTAGTTCGAAAAAAAAATAAAAAATTTTTTTTTAAAAATTCATAATTTCTTTTTTCGTTGAGTAAAAAAATTTGAAAAATGATAAAAAACTTCCAGCCAAATTGAATAGGGGTCAAAATGCTCGATTTGTAGTGAAATGTCTCATATTTTCTTTCTTTTTTCTTTTCCACACAAATCTAAATTTATAATAAAGAAGAATTGAAAAAAAAATTACTCTAAAAAAACTAAGGATTTGCAGAAAATCTCAAAGCTTAATAATATAATAACAAAAAAAAATTACAAATGATAATCAAGAAATTTTCGATTTTTTTTTTAAATCTAAGCAATAATGATAAAAATAAGTTTGAATAATAATTTTTTTTTAAATACAATTAAAAACAAAAATTTTGAAAAAATTGAATTTTTTCAAAATTTAGTTCGAAAAAAAAAATAAAAAATTTTTCTTTCAAAAATTTATAATTTTTTCTAGTCGGGTGAAAAAATTCTCGAAAAAAAAATTTTTGTAGAGAAGAAAATAATAAAAAACTTCCATCGAAATTAAATAGGGGTCAAAATGGTCGATTTGTTGTGGAATGTCCCACATCTTCTTTCTTTTTCTTTTCACACAAATCTAAATTTATAACAACTCACTCGTCTTGTTTATCTTTCAATCCTGATTCTTCGTCAATTTTTTTCAGTTCTTTTCCATTTAGTTTTATACTATCTTCATTCTTATCAATATTATCTATTGAAACTGCTCCGTAGATCATTGTATCGTCGAAAATCATCGGACAACTTCCTAAATGTATTGAATTTACACTTTTTCCTTAGAAAAAAAAAATCCATAATTAATATTATTATTATTATCATTAATATTATTAAAAAAAATATTACTTACCTGAAGTCCACCATTTGTGAGCGTGTTCATTAATCAAACTTTTATCTTTACCAGCCTCGATGATATCATAAGCCGATTGCGAGTGATAAATACTTCTTCTGCGACTATCAACTATTTAAAACTTTGTTTAATGAATGTCAGATTTTTCCTAAATCTAAGCTACTAATCCTAAACATAAAAAAAAAAAGAAAATAAAATTACCAGTCAAAATTTCAGTCTCTACAATTTCCTTCTGCGAATCTTTATCGTCAATATTTAAATTTGAGATACTGCGAGTCCTTTTGAGCTCAAAATTATTAGAGCTAACGTCAAGCTTAACAGTTTCTAAGCTCATATTTTTAGTTTTAGACTCTATTATTAATTTTTTATCATCTTGTTTATCTGTAGAATTAATGAGGTCATGATTAATCGATTTTTATTTAATGAGTGTAAACTATTCTAGCAGACTTTATTATATGATTCACCTTCATTATCTTTGGGTTCAGTAACCGGGCGCTTGGCATGCCATTTAACAGGTTGTAACAATAACGCTGCCACTAATGTATGCATTGTTATTCCTCCGAGAATAATTATTGTTCCCTAAAAGATAAATGTTTTTAGAGTTGATATATAAATAACTGTTTAATTGTAAAAGAAAAAAAAAACAACTAAAATAATATAAATACCTGAGCTGAGTATATGTACAAGAGTAATGAAATTAATTGTGGCATCAGTATGGGCCCAAAACCTGTAATAGTCATCGCAAGTCCCATCGCTCGTCCTCTTTTTTCTAAAAAGTACGTGTTTAGAGCCAAAGAAAAGGCTGCCATTGACAAACCGACGCCCATAGCTGAAGAAATTATTAATTAATATTTTTTAGATTGATAAAATTTTTATAAATTAATACTTACAGGTCATAAGCCCGTAGGCTATTAAAAAATGGATAAATTTATAAGAAAAAGCAGTGAGCAATATTCCGGTGAAGAACATCAAAGCTCCGGTGATTGCTACTTTCCGGTACCCAAATTTTCGAAGAAGCGGCCCGTGTAATAGACCCATCGCCATACCGAATGACATATTTGTGCTCATTATTATTGACACGCTCGTGGGTGGGAGTTCTAAAGAAGCGAAGACATCTATGAACACCAGACTCATTCCTGTGATCAGCGGGACCATCACGATCTGAAAATATGAACAATTAGTTACATAGAAAAAAAAATTAACTTGGATCAAGAAGAAAAATTCTTAAACCAAGAAAATAATTTTGAAGAGTTTCAATGTCTTGGATCAAGACGAAAAATTATTGAATCAAGTAAAATTTACTTAAGTGAAAAATAAGAAAAATTTCTTAGTTTAAGAATTTTTCTACTTAAATTAAAAAGATTAATAAATTCTTCAAAATTATTTACTTGATTCAAGTAAATTTTATTTTCTGTGTATTAAGAATAAATCAAAAAATTTTTTAGTAGGTTTCATAAAAATCTAACTATACGGAAAGAAAATTATGGGAACTATTCCTATACCATTATGGGAATGGTTCCCATAATGCTATAGAAATCATTCCCATACTATTATAGGAATCGCTTCCATAATTTATGGGAACCATTCCCATAATAGTATAGGAATGGTTCCCACAATATATAGGTTTAAATCTTACACGGCAAAAAAAAAATTGGGGCTGCCATACAATACATTCCTGTGGAAGATATACGACTTTCATGTGACAGCAACATAATTTTCATGTGGCAGGCAATAATAGTTAAAACAACAATAATAATAATAACTTATAGTATTAAGAGAATAAGAACAATTTTGTCTCCTGGATAGTCACATGATGAAATCGATTTTTTTAGTGAAATTTAGTGTCATTGTAAAGGACTTGACTTGAATTTGTGCCTTTTCAAGGTTTCATATCATTCTCGTATTGAGTACCCATATCAATTTTTCATATATATATATATATATATGTAAATATGAAAAATATATCAAAATGCATGTGCACATGAGTACTCAAATGAAAGCTTTTGATGAGTGTAACATCAAGACGAGGTTATATTTTTTAGGCTGCATTTGAAAATGCTTTTTTAAAATATCAATAATTAAGAAATGACCTTGTATCTTGTGAATTATTGACATTTTTAAAGATATAAGCTCATCCCGACATTACACTCATCGAGACCTTTCATTTGAGTACCCACATCAATTTTTCATATATTTTATATATTTATAATATATATAATATATATCTATATATATGAAAAATATATCAAAATGCATGTGGGTATTCAAATGAAAGCTCTTAATGAGTGTAACATCGGGATGAGCTTATATCTTCAAAAATGTCAATAGTTTACCAGATACAAGGTCATTTCTTCATTATGTATCTATAGACACAGAGCATTTTCGAATGCAGCCTAAATTCTTATTATAATAAATAGACTATTGGTGAAAATGATATAAAAATTTGAAAAGGCACAATTCCAAGCAAAAACCCATTTTATCATATAAATATACTGGCCACAAAAATTTTCATATTCTCTTAATAATATAGATTATTATTGTTATTATCATTTGATTATTATTGTTGTTTTAACTATTATTGCTTACTACATGATAATTATATTGCTGTCACATAAAAATCATGTGGCTGCTACATGATTTTTTCATGTTGCAGCCCCAATTGTTTTTTTTCCGTGTATATATTATAGGAATCATTTCGAACTCACTCCGCACGAAGATTTTATCTTTATTTTATTTTGAGAATGATTCCCATAATGGTATAGGAATGATTCCTATAATATTCTAGGAATCCTTCCTATACCATTATAGGAATAGTTCTCATAATGATATAGGAACCATTATAGTATACTATATCATTATGGGAATATTTCCCATAATATTATGGGAATGGTTCCTATAATTGTATAGGAATCATTCCTATATAATTATAGAAAACATTCTTATACCATTATGGGAACCATTCCCATCGTTATGGGTAATATTCCCATAATTCTGGGAAAATTTCCTATAATTATGGGAACAGTTCCCATAATTTATAGGAACAGTTCCTATAATTGCCTGGGAACTGTTCCCATAAAATTATGGGAATAGTTCCCATATTTTTATTTCCGTGTATTGCATTTGTCTTTATGACGGAACTTTTGAAAAATTTTGCTATTTTCGGACTCAGTTCGTCGAGCTGATTCAGAAAATACATATGGTTCAAAAGTTTATATATGTATGTATACGATATAACGCGGCTTGTCCGGACAATAGCGTCTCTAATTCATAATGAATCTTCTCCAAACTCAATATATTTATTTTTTAAACGAATACCAAGGTCAAGTTCAAAGATGAGCTTAATTGGTCAATTAGTTAAGAAATTATAGGGTTTCAAAATTTTCAAAATCGTAAAAATTCATATTTTAGCAGTTTCTTTCGCGGATAACTTTTTAATAAAATAAGTTATCGCATTTTTGTAAATTTCATTTTAAAGCCCATTAAAAAAGCTTTAATTTTCATGTCATTTTATTCTCCTCTGAAAATAACCTATTCGTCTGAAAATGTTTGATAAAATTTTACTATTGCATTCGTTTTAACTTATAGAAAAAAGGGATTCCATCAACCCGTGTAAAAAAAAATCGTCTTAAAATTGTCTTAAAATTATCGTTCGTTTAAGATCTTAAAATTAAATTAAAAAATAATGATGTTATCGAACTTAATAAAGAATTTAAAAATCTATTCGAAAAATAGAAATTTTTTATTTTATCAAAATCTTAATTCGATGAATCTTTTATTGTCAAAAGAAAAAATGAAAAATAATTATCCAAGGTGAAAGAAAAGTTCGACTATTTTCGGGTTGATAATTGTTATGAATATTTATAAAATAGAGCACATCCTTAAAATAGAGGTTAGCTGACAATTCTGAAGGATTTTGATCGGATTTATTTTTTCGACCATTTTAAACATTGTTTAATTAACATCGACAGAACTGATTGACTGAAGAGAGAGTTTAAAATTAAAAAAGAAGTAATTAAATTTTATTTAGTTTTTTTTTGTCAATGACTGAAACGTTCTTCAAGCTATAGGGTAATTTTTTGCGAAAAATTTTCTGGACATATATACGAACAGTATTGAAAAAAAGTATTGCAAATATTGTATGCTTTGCAGTTTTTTGAATATAATTACTAGAGTTGTTTTAACCTCGGTTTTTTTTGGAAGAGGTGTTCATTTGCATGGAAATTAGTCTCGGTGATAACTTTATTTTTACATGATCTTACTGTTGTCTATAAAAAAATTTTATTATGACATACGTATGTGTGTAAAAAAAAATCGTCTTAATATTGTCTTAAAATTGTCGTTCGTTTAAGATCTTAAACGTGACACAAACTGAGACTATTTTAAGACTCTTTTAAGACGCCAAAAGGAAAATTCCGAGAGCAGATTTTTGAAAATTTTGTTCTCGAATTTGTTGTGAAAATTAATTTTTAGATGATTTTACGACTTTCTAACCGCAATATTTTTGAGTAAAATGTTTTTAAATTTAATTTAAAATTGTTAAAAAATTATTATCTGACAATTTTAATACTTTTTTAAGACGTTCCGTTTTAATGTTCCGGGGCTCTGTCGCTGTTAGCCCATCTTAAAATAGTCTAAATTTTTTTTTAAGATTTTTTTAAGACTAATTTAAGATAATTTTAAGACAATTTAAAGACGCTTCATAATAATTTTCCGGAGCTGTCACTGTAATATCATCTAAAAATAGCCTAAAAATTTTTTAATATTTTTTTTTCAGATTTCTTTAAGACTATTTTAAGATTTTTCAAGACTATTTAAAAATTATTTTAAAACTTAAATCTTAAATTAGTCTTAAAAAAATCAAAATAGTTATTAAAAAATCTCGGAATTTTTTTTTTTTTGGTATCTTAAAAGAGTCTTAAAATAGTCTTAGTTTGTGTCACGTTTAAGATCTTAAACGAACGACAATTTTAAGACGATCTTTTTTTACACGGGAATGTGATTGAAGTATTTGTATTATTAGTGTTATGATTTTATTTAAGTAGGAAATCTATTTCCATTTCAGCTGCCGAATGGTACTTTTTTATACTAAAATTAGACTTCTAAAAATTTTTTTCATCATGTTAAAAAATTTTGGTAATTATTTACAAATGGGGTCAAATCATGATCGGCTATGTTAATTGATCAATTTTTTTTTTAATTTTCGTTTATTTTATACTTTTCAAAAGAAAAATATATATACCAAAAACATCAAAAAAAGATAAAATAGAAATTTATCCAAAAATATAAAAGCCAATTTTTTTCATTTTTTAAAGGCAATTAAAAAGCTATCGAAATCTATTTTTTCCTTTTACGACATTTTTTATCATAAATGCATCGTAAATCAAGCAGAATAAAAAAAAAAATTAAAAAGTCGTAATTTTTCACCTAGTTATGGCCCAAAACAAGGTTTGACATTGCCTGTAAATAATAACCAAAATTTTTTTAGAGTTAATTATTAAATTACAAAATTTTCAATTACTAAAAAAAAAAAAGAAAAAATAATTTTACAACTGTTTAAAGATATAAATCTTAATAGTAGTAATTCATTTTTCTTATCTAAACTCAAAAAAGTATTTTAATTATATTATCAATATATAATATTTACTAATGAATATTTTAAATGACAATTGTCTTCAATATAACTACTAAATTCTTTGATCAGACGATAAACTAGTAGTAGTATTTATTTACAGATGTACAGTTTTTTAAAAACTCTGATACATTCCCTTCCCATTTCGACATTAATATTAATATCACATCAGTAACATATTAATAATTTAAGTAATTAGATATAATAGAAGTAATGATAATATTGACTTAGATCAGACGATAAACTACAAAAGGTCAATTATCAAACCACTCATAATTAATAAGAGAAATTAAAAATAACTTATCATAAAAATAACTTATTTTATTTAATTTATTTTATTATCATATTTAAATAAAACTAAAAATTCTTACATTATTCAAGGCAAAACCAAGAGCGACCATCCACCCCCAGCCTCCATCAGGGGGTAACATCCCCTCCATGTTATCTTCTCTACAAGCCACTTATAATACACTTAGAAAACCTTCATTCAATAAAATAAAACTAAAACAACATGTGGTAAAAATAAACCGCATGTCGCGAGCCAATTTATGTGCTCAATAATAATACGTGCTGCAGTGACACTGATAAAGATGAACTGATGTCTTTCTTAGCAGACGTTAGCCACGTCTTCCGGCCAATAAAGGAATTATTTAATCTCTTCTCTCTCTACTCATACAAGAATAATAATAATAAAAATAATTATGGATATAAAACCGCGCCTTGGTGTAACAGAACACTAGATACCGACCCGCAGCAGCGGAGTTCAGTTCACAAACTGAAGACCAACTGTTACTGAGATAAGACTAAAAATTTTTATCTAATCACTAAATAATAATTTTCCATAATATATGCTTTCTGTTCTGCTTTAAACAAATAACTAGTGTCAATACTTTTATTTGTTTGATTACACTGGTCTACAGTGGTTTTGTTGCCTTAGATATAAGATTGATTTTGGATATATTTATACTCACAATTCATGAAATTATGAATGATTTTGTAAGATTTGCTTTCGTTTTTTTTTAAATACTTATTTTTATTTTACATTACAAAAATCGGAAAACGAGAAATCTTTCTTCGCTCCGTCTTCCCCACTCACTCTCCGCGCCGGCGCTTCCCTCTTGGGGACTTACTCACTAACTTACAACTAGAGGCGCGAGTACTTCGGAGCACAGCGCTCTGGGGAATCAGTCGATAACTAACTCACGGATCGGAAACCTTCTCTGGGTAAAGAAGGCCCCGTGTACTCCGTTACAATCCAGATCATAGGAATACCAAAGTCTAATCCAAAACGTTTTCCTTTTTTCCACAACCGCAAAGACTCAAGACAGGACTTACAAACTTTATTCGGAACCCATGATTTATCTAATTTGTCCATTTTAAAACCGAAATATTCAGCATAAGTCTCCTTAACAAAGTCTGTGATATTTCGTTTTTGTTTTTTTTAATATATAAATACCACAAATATAACAAAATGAATCACTACTATATTTACACTTTCTTCGTGACGAACTCATGTTTAAAAAGACAAGTCAAATATATTAGAATGAACACTCAGCAATTGAATCAAAATATTAACATATGACAACTTATCCAGATTCACGTGTAAGTACTTCAATATTATCAAATAACTGAGTTATCAGCTGTTTTGCGGAGCAAGGAGTCTGAGAGTGGAGATCAAGTGATGTTTGTATGCGCAAAAAAGTTGCGCAGAAGCTTAATCAGGACTGGGAAAACAAATTTTAATACTAACAAGCTGATAATTGTTCAAAATATAAGATACGTAAAAATCATAAAAAAAAGAGCACATTCAGTATTTTCATGAATATGGTCGTAATTTAGGTACTCGAAAACATAAAAATTTGCAAAAATATCCAAGGCAACACAAAAAAAATTTTTTTTTGTAGAGCTGTGTTATTAATTTAATTTAACAGCAATAACAATTTTATCTGCTGCTTATCTCTAACACTTAAAATTAAATTTCCGAAAAAGCATTTCGGCGATCCACGTAAAAATGGTCAGGTAGCTTATAATATTAATAATATGAAGTAAAGATGAATAATTTCCCAGAATGTCTTTGAGCAGGCCAATAATTGGGCCCAAGATTATCGACAGTAGGCCGCTGATGATCAGCTGAAGTCCTGAAGCCGCTGGTAATCTTTCCAAAGGAACATGTTCCGGGATAACTAGCGCCATAAAAATTGTTCTCAGCGCTTTTCCGAACCCTATAAGCACTCCGATGCTCAGAATCACTTCGTAAGAGGTTATGTGAGCTAAAACTGATTAAAAATTGATAAAATAGTCATTTTAATTAATTTATTTACTTAAAAAAAATATGATACTAAAATTAGCCGACGTTCAACAATTTTTGACTTTTTTTTATTAATTAAATTAGAACTAAAAAAATATTTTTAAAAAATTGCACGTATAATTTTTGAAATTTTTTATATGTGGAATTTTTTTTTTAATTGTTTTTTTAATAATTTTTCAATAAAATTTTCAGATGTCGACTAATTTAATTTTCATTACTAAAGTTAGCTGACAACTGTAAATTTTTTTAATTTTTACAACAAATTAATTACAGTAAAAAAAATGCTTTAAGGGGGTATTTTGGTCTTGAAGCATGAAATTTAAGGTAATTTTTAATAAAGTGCCGTAAAAAAAAAGGCATCAATATTTTTACTATTCATTTTTTTATAAGTTATTTATTAACATTATAAGAATACAGAAAAAAATAAAAAAAGTTGAAAATTAAAAAAAGTAGCAGGTGATGAAGTGGGAGGGTCTCAAAAAATTGACACATGACGATACCCACGATTCCAATCCTCCTAGCAATCGGAAACAAAAAAATAAAAAAGATTATGAATCTAGAGTAATGTCGCTATGGCTGGACTTATGGAAAAGCTGAAAGAAAAATTTTTCACAAAATGGCGACTGCCTGAAAAAAAAAAAAAAACATTTTTTTTACCACTTTTTTTTACTTTTTCGAATTTTTTAAAAAATAATAAAAATTTAATTTGGGGATGACCGTAGTTCCAACCATAGCGACATTACTCTAGATTAATAATCTTTTTAATTTTTTTATTTCCGATTGCTAGGAGGGTTGGAATCGTGGGCATGGTCACGTGCCAATTTTTTGAGAC